TGAGGAGGTACAAATGGCTCCACTAAGGGTATAGGTAGAACATTTTGGACCGAACTAATATCCTGCATAGAAGAAGGGAAGACGGGAGTTGATTCAAAAAAAGTGACATTAGCAGACATGTAGTACCTCTTGGTTTTAGGAGAATAACATCGATATCCTTTTCGAAAACGAGAATATCCCAAAAACACACATTTGATGGTTCTAGCTGATAGTTTATATAAACCTAGAGGCATATCATGAACAAAATATACGCAAGCAAATACACGAGGAGAAACATGAAAGAGTGGTTCCTTTGGCAATAGAATAGAGTGTGAAACTTTATTGTCAAGAGAAGAAGATGATATTTTTTTAATGAAAAAACATGCAGTAAGAATAACATGTTCCCAATGATAAACAGACATATTTGCACCAAGTAATAAGGTACGAGCAGTTTCAACCAAATGTCTATTTTTTCGTTCTGTTATACCATTTTGTTGTGGTGTGTGTGGACAAGTAGACTGGTGTAAAATGCCTTGAGAACTTAAGAGAGTGGAGAAATCAGTAGAAAAGTATTTTTTGGCATTATCACTTCGTAAAAATTTGATTACTTTTCCAAATTAATTTTTGATTTTGTTAAGGAAAGACTTAAAGATATGTAATAATTTTTCATTAGATAAATTCAAGTACACCTAAAAAATTCATCAATGAAGATAACAAAATATCTATAACCAAAGGATGAGACACGACTAGGATCCCAAATATCAGAATGAACAAGAGAAAAGACAGAGCCACATCTAAATTCAAAACTTTTAGGAAAAAAGGACATAGTATGTTTCCCTAATTGACATAATTCACATTCAAAATCTTGAAGAGTTCAGGAACCATTTTTTTTAATCTTGACAAGTGAGGGTGCCCTAAACGTTCGTGTAATAGTTTTGGAGACAAGGATGCAACACATGATACAGATGATTTAGTCCCAAGGTAGTATAAGCCTCCAAGTTCATGTCATTCGCCAATCTGTTGACCCGTACCACGTTCCTATATAACAAAAGAGTTGGCATTAAAGGTTACTGAACAATTCAATAATTTGGTTAATTGATTTAGGGAAATGAGACTAAAGGGACATGAAAGAACAAAAAGAACAAAATTTAAGTCTAAAGACGGAAAAATGGAGACTTGACCAGTTCCTTTAGAGGCTACTTTAGATTCGTTGGCTAAGGTTATGAGATAAGGAGTTTTAGGAAATGAGAGAGAAGAGAACAAAGAGGTATTACCAGACATGTGATCAGAAGCACCTGAGTCAATAATCTATGGATTTTGACTTTCCACAGATTGTGAAATGCAAGTTGTTGATGAATTTGGGAGAGAACTTGGGTTCAACCATTTCAGATTTGGAAAAATTGACAGTTTTGCCAGGAAAACCGTACAAAGAGTAGCAATTTTTCAGGGTATGACCCATTCTCTTGCAATGAATGCATTGAGGACATCCTCCACCTCCACGTCCTCCTCTAGTGTCGCGACTTCCTTTTCCACGAGTAGAAATCATAGCAGAAGATTCAACAACTTCTTGATTATTTTTTCCCTTGAGAGTTGGAACACGAAGCAGTCTTAGTCAAACTTTCCATAGAAGGAACTTCTTGTCCAATTAAAATTTAATCTCTAACATGATCAAATTCTGAATTCATAGCCCAGAGAATCATAACCACATAGAATTTATCCAACCTTTGCTTTATCTCCTCTAATGAATCCACCTCTAGGAACATCTTTAATTCTTCAACTGTTGATTAAGCTTCAGCAATAAAGGTCATCATATCTTTATCCACTTGCTTGAGAGAGGCTAATCGATTAGCATAATCATAGAGGCGTTGGATATTATTTGCAAAGATATTCTGAGCCTTTTTCCAGAAAGAGTTACATGTTTTGTAGGATCTGAGAGTGTTCAAAATATTTGATTCTACTGATTGCCACAATAGAGCACAAAGTTGATAATCAAGTTTTTTCCATTGTTGAGCCACCAAGGCATCGTTATAGTGGGAGTTCCAAAAAAGGAGGTTGTGGATCCTGACGACATGCTTTAAGTAATGTAGATGTAAGATGGAGACAATGAAACCTGTAAGAAGGAGAACACCCAAGATAGAATTAGATAAAGAGGGAAGTATCAATTTTCTCTTTGCAAGAAAACTGACAAATGGTAGCAGCGGACAACTGTAGCGGAACGGAGGCGAAAAGGTCACTGGAAGGTGGTTGGAAAGTCGTCGGATGGCAGCAAAAAAGTGACTAGACGGGGGCTGACGGTTGTCGAAAAGTTGCTAAAAAGTGGTCGGAAATTTGCCGGAAAGTTACCGGAAAGTGACTGGAAAAGTGACTGGAAAGTGACCGGGAAATGTTTGGAAAGTGGCTGGACGGTGGCCGAACGATGGTCAGACGGTGGCCGGAAAGGCAGAACAGGTTGGTTCTTCCTTCCAACCATCCTTTTATACAACAAGTTCTGAATGAATTTCATAATTCCCCTATTGGAGGACATGCAGGGAGAGTTAGGACACTGGCTAGGGTTTCTTCTCAGTTTTATTGGCATGGTATGCAAAACGATATTAAAAATTTTGTCCAACATTGTTTGGTCTGTCAACAAGCCAAGACCGCTACTTCTTTACCTGCTGGACTGCTCCAACCCTTGCCAATTCCAGTACAAATTTGGAAAAAGTTAGCTATGGATTTTATTTTTGGCCTACCTCTTTCACACGGTTTTACTGTGATTCTGGTGGTAGTAGACCGTTTATCTAAATATGGTCATTTTGCTCCACTCAAAGCCGATTATTCGAGCAAGACTATAGCAGACATCTTCATGCATTCCATTGTTAGATTACATGGTATGCCAAATTCGATTGTTTCAGATCGTGATAAAGTGTTCACTAGCAAATTTTGGCAGCACTTGTTTAAGTTGAATGGGACAATCTTGGCTATGAGTACAGCATATCACCCTTAATTTGATGGTCAATCCGAGGCACTTAATAGATGTTTGGAGATGTACTTAAGATGTTTCACAGTTGACAATCCAAAGAGCTGGAGTAAGTTACTCTCATGGGCTGAGTTTTGGTACAATACCTCATTTCAGTCCAACATTGGTATGACTCCTTTCAAAGCAGTTTATAGTCGAGATCCTCCCACATTCACTAAGAATACTTTAGACCATCAAGACCCTCCCTCTCTGCAGGATTTATTGCTACAACATGACTTAGTTCTCCGCCGGTTGAAGAATAAATTGCTAAAGGCTCAGCACTATATGAAGAAATATGCAGATAGGAAACGATCACAGTTGGAGTTTAACATGGGTGATCTTGTTCTAGTTAAGCTTCAACCTTATAGGCAACACTCAGTTGCTTTGCGCAAAAATTAGAAATTGGGACTTAGATATTTTGGTCCGTTCCCAGTTTTGCAAAAAATTGGTTTTGTGGCTTATAAACTCCTACTTCCAGCTTCTGTCAAGATTCACCCCGTGTTTCATGTTTCTTTGTTGAAGCCATGCAAAGGTGAACATCAGCAACCGTATGTTCCTCTTCCACTGTTGACTAATGAATTTGGTCCTATTGTCCAACCATCTAAGATATTGCAGTCCCGAATTATTTTACGTGGCTCAGATCAGATTCCTCAGGTTTTGGTCCAATGGGAACGATTGGATACGAGTAAAGCTACTTGGGAAGATCTATCCTTATTCCAGGGTGTTAAGACAAGGTTGATTTTTATGGGGGAGGAAATGTCACGAGTGCAGAAGAAATACTAACAAATGAAGTGCATGGGAATACCGTTATACGGGTGGGACACGTGGGGTGATAATGATGAAATCAGGGTAAACTGCAAAAGTGAGAAGAAAAGAGTAACTAACTCTGCGCTCAAGGATTACGTTTGGGAGTTAAAGTAAATATAAAAGAAAAAAAAAAAAAAGAGGAAATGAGGTGTGTGAAATTTATGACTTGTTCTCCTTTTCCCCTGGCCCTCTCTGGGATTTCTTTTATTCATTGTTTCTGTTAATTTCGTATTCATGTATCTGCTAACATTGCCTTGGTGTTAGCCTTCTTCATTGTAAGAAAACTTATACTTAATAGATAATACGATACAGGACCCTTGTGTTTTATTCAATTGTTGTGAGTCTGACTGTTTCATTGGTGATACCTAACAGATTTTCAGAGAATTCAAAACAATGCATTTGTAAACATTATTTCCATTATTGATAATGTAGCCTCTTGGATTCAAAAACATGTCTTTTGCGCTTGTAAGAATCTATAAACTAATTAAAGGCAAAGCTATGAAAGAATAAAATATATACTGACACAACGGGGAGCTAGATACAAATATGGGAAGATGTTATAGAAGTTGCATTGCATGTTACTTCCCACTTTACTCTGATCTTCCCAGAAGTCAAAAAATTATCTCAGAAAACAAACAAAACCCTCACACATCCGCATAACCGCCCTAGTATTTCAGCTGACGATAACCCAAATTTTCAATTACCTTTGGAAACTGCTTTGTCAGATTCTTCCCACCATCATCAAATCACACCATACTGCTAAAGGCCACGCTTGAATCAAAGCCAACATGATCAAAAGAAGCAAACATCAATCAGAAAAAATACACACAGAATCAAAACAACATCAGCCAGAAAAATTTTATTCCTTGTTTGATTTTGAAAGGAAATGTCATTATAAATGTCAAGTATTCGAAATGGACAAGTAAGGCTTTGAATAAGCAAAGTTATCAACATAGCTGGAAACCCACGTATACAGCAACAATATGGTCATATGATTAATAAGACGAAGAAAAACAAAAGGCTAATAAACTAATCTAAGCTAATTCTTACTGCATTGAACAAACATGTATGCAATTGTTATTTTGCTCAATGAGCTACCAGTTAGATTGTTGCAAACACCCTCTACCTTCTCTAGCTTTCTGTTTATCTATTTCTTGTCCAAGCTATGTTCTAATTTAAGAATGTTGAGCTTGCAGATGAATACCTGTCCAAAGATGCTTCATTCGCAAGCAACAGTGGTCGCAAAGCTGCTGAGGCAGATTGCAAATGCCTGAAATGCTGAGATGGGGTACCGATAATCCATTGTGAACAAGTCCTTCCCAACTTTTCCAAACTGAAGGATGATCTCATCCTCTTGAGGTTCAGCATGTCCATTTACTGGCAAAGCAGCCAGCTGAAAGTTTTTAACTGAAGCAATTGTCACTCGCCCATGAAAGTTTAAGCACCAACACTGCAGCTGCTCATGCCACCTGGCAGCCTTATTTCTCAACACTAGAACGTCATCTTTTTTATTGTTCTGGTATCCAGATATGGAGTTTTCCAGACGAGTTGAGTTTGTCTGAAAAAATGGGAATGAAGTACCTAGGTTACTAACAGAATAACTGGTCTGTGAAGGAGCAACCCCTTCTGGTTCAATAGCAGAAGTAAGAATGTTGTCTATGACACAATGCATTCTCCTTGGCCCCCTGCTTCCATAAATATATGGTAAGTTAGCTAATATGCTTCCAGCAGAAACATCAAATATTATAGGATCGTTAACCAAAAGAAAAATATGAAGGACTATCATGGTAGTGTAGAATTGCAAAAAAGATTTACCTGGAACCTAATACATTCAATTCATATGAGATGTGGGCAACTGGATAGTTTCCTGTTGGGACCTTAGGTGAAACTTGTTTTGGATTCGCCAGCTTAGAGGAGCAACTTTTTGTCAACTTTGCTCCTGCATGAGGCAGTTGGCTATCGTAGATTGTGAACTTGGTTCCCAAAAAATTTGATCTTATCAAATGTGAAGGAAAATGGGTTAGTCTTCAAGCAAAGTAACAAAAAGCAATAATGGAAACAGTGCCCAATTAAGAGTGCACCTCAATTTCCCTACGTAGGCATTGCTTTCCCTGGACATATCATCTGCATCCAGGGAGATAACATAATCTGTGCAGGTTGGGCGTCTGAACTTGCGTGCGGCTAGAAGGAACTTCCCATCATCAGCTAGTGCTGAATACAGTAACCCGCAGGATCAGAAATATAATCAAGTTGGTTTTGAGAACAATATAATGTTTCCTTTTTAAACAATGAATTGAGAAAGAATATAAAGGGGACGTTATATTGTCCCCCAAAACTAGCTTAAGTTTTTATACAAGGCAATAAAAAATAAGCTCAAATATTGATGAACTACTTACCACTAGATAAACTGAGAAACAGATAATATGTCTGTGTGCCACTGTTGCGCCTAATGAAGCACTGAAGTAGATGTTCCCTTGGACCAGGCTGCCAAAATGTATTTACCAACTTAGATCATGTTAAAGCAGTGCAACTTAATAATAATAATAATAATAATAATAATAATAATAATAATAATAATAATAATAATAATAATAATAATAATAATAATAATAATAATAATACAAGGAAAACTTTCAAAGTCTAATTTTCAAAAATCCAAATCAAAAATTACAGAACAAATGTGTTTTTGGCTAAGTGCTACAAAATTATTTCAATTGAAATTACAACAGCATAGTCTTGTCCCACTAGGTGAGGTCAATTGCATGATCACCAGACAGTATTTGACGCACTTAAAGATCAAAGCTTTAGTAATAGTGTTTACCCTGCAATCTTCGTAGACAACTTCTTTCAAAGTCTATTTTGGTCTCCCTCTCCTCCTTTCCAGGGGACTAAAAACTATTTAGTGTACTTTTTTAACTGATGTCTCTCATGGCCTCGTTGTCTTCTTTGTTCATGTCCAAACTACTTTATGCAATTTTCTGTCATTTTTCCTTAATGGTTACTACACAAATCTTCTTTCGTATATAATCATTTTGTATCTTATAATTTCTTATGTAACCACATGTCTATCTTAATATTCTTATTTGTGTTACTCCTACATTTCTCTTGTGTTGCTTCTTTGAAACCCAACATTCCCTACCATATCAGGATCATAAACTTGACTTAGAATTCTGTAGAAATTTCAATTGAAATTGATTTTGTAAAATTGTTCTGGACTGAGGTGATTTATATTTAGATAATTTTATTCCAAAAAAACTAGCTGCAAATCTCAACATACAAAATTCGATCCAACCTAAAACTAGCTAATGTTGCTTTAATTTTAGATGAATTATGGAACCAGAACTAATTCCTTGAGGTGAAACTAAATATATGAATAGTTAATCAAAATAACATAGGCTAGTTTTTCAAGTGGTTCTTGATCAAGTTTGGTGAATGAACAGAAAATTGAAGAAAGCTGGAAGGGTAAAGCCCATCTAATTGAAATTGAGTGAATTTGAATGGAGAGCATTGTGCAGTAACCTGTTTGAGAGAGGTGGGGAAGGTCATGTTGGAAGAGAGTTGAGGTGGCTTGACAATCTCCTTGACGATGAACCTCCAGGCGCGGCACACTCCAGCACAGGCCACCACGCTCCTCCGCGACGGCCACTTGGCCTCCGACGACTCAATTCGGAAGAGGACCTCTCTGAGAAGCTCGTGAGGCATGTTGGCCCACCAACTATGCTCCAACCCATCATCCATGGAAGCCACCACACCACACCACACGCACCCCTTTTGAAGAAAGACTCCAACTTCAATGATGGGTCGCTGTATTATTTGACCGTTGATTAAGGAAGGAGAAGTGTCTGTTTTCCACTGAAATATCTTCTTGGTCGAGAAAAACTGAATCCTCTTCGATTCGGTTTGTTTCAGAATGTGACAAGAGGGTTACCAGTTATTGTTAGTTAGAAAGAGAAAAAAAAAAAGAAAAAAAAAAAAGAGTGAAGACTGTAGTAAGTGTGGTGGATTAGTTAGAATTTGATTTATAATTATAAATAAGCAGAAAAATGTTAAGAAAGATTGTAGTCACTTTAATTAGTTGATCCAATTATTTCAAAGATAATTAATTTAATTGAAAGTCCAAATTTTGGTATTTGGAGTTGTATATATATATATATATATATATATATATATATATATATATATATATATATATATATATTATTTTGAACATAAAAAAATTGTTAAGATAAGGAATTTAATGAATATTTTATACACATAACATAATAAGTCAAAAGATAAGTTTAATCTATATTTCACTCTAATATTAGAAAAAAATACAAAATATATTATAAAAAATATTTAATAATAACAAAAAATTTAAAAATGTTGTTTATATATATATATTATATTCATTTATAAAGTTTTATGATATTTTTATAATTAAAATTATAAGAAAAAGGACACATGGAGATAAAGCGAGTGGAGATTTTCTACGCTCAATAATTGTAGACTTGTTTTGGAAGTCACATTTAAAAGTGAGAAAAGAGACAGTTGAGATAGTGAAATGACTGAGTGAGAGATGACAAAATGAATATTGAGTTTAGAATACGTAAATATTGTATTATTTTTTTTAAAATATTTTAAAAAATTATTTTAGTTTTAAAAAAAATATGTTAGTAAAATTGTACATAAATATAAAAAAGTATACACCAAAGTAATAAAAAACAATTATATATATTTAACTGTTTTCATATGTATTTTATATTGTTATAACTCATAGTATAAATATATATATTTGGAACAAACTAAATTAAACTGGTATCGGATAAGATTAAACTACATAAAAAAATATTAAAAAAACGGAATTAAATTATTAATTTAACTTTTAAAATTTGAATTGCTCTTATGTAGAATTATTTACAAAAAAACTATAACTTATAAGATTAGAAAATAGATTGATAAAAGCTCAAATAATTTAAAAAACAATTGAAAAAAAGTTCTTCTTAATTTAGTTAAATTCATTTAAACTTTAATACAGTTCAATTTAATTCGTCTGAATAATTATACAATTTAATTCAGTATGCTAGAATCACTTTTAACAGTTGAAATTAGCTCGATTTTCAGATGATACGTTTTGTCCACTTTTAAAAATAAGTGATTCACTTTGTGTTGTTTATAAAATGGGGATTTGGCATCCATAATTATTGGATTCATGTTAACTACCGGTTTAAAATACAGTGATAAAATACTTAAACTTAATTAACACGTTATCACGACAATAAATATTTGTGGTTTTGACGAGTGAGAATTAGAATAAGAGAGAAATAGATTTATTTGATTAAAAACAATAGAAAAATAAATAAAAATATATATGTTAAAAAAGAACTATATGTTGCATCAACGGATAGAAACAATACCATGGTTGAATCAATGGATCAAACTCTTTTGTAGAGGAAGAAGTGTGAGAATAAATGTTGATGATATTTTTCATTTATAATAAAATCTAACATTTCTAAAAAAAAATAAAAACATTGATTAGGGAAATTTATATTGTTAGTGATATTAGAAATAATGGAAGAGTAACTTGTTACACTTTTCAATAAAAACCTTTTAAGAATAGTTTCAAGTTTTTTAGCTAGAGTTTTGAGTGTTAAAATAACTATTTTTCCTTAAGTTTTGAAAAATCGATGCTAAGAATAAAAAAAGACGAATTAAAAATAGAATATCAATTAAGTGAAAACACATTTTAAGAATAATATTAGTCATTGGAATAAAATTAGTTAAAAATTACTTATATTTAAATTCACGAAACTTGTTTATTATTTGTTTGCTATTTATTCACGAAACTTCTATTCTAAAAATTATACAAAAGCTATTTTAATTAGTTAAGGTAAAATCTTTAAAACTAACTTGTGACTGATCAGTAAACCTAAAAATTAAAAGCAACTTACAATTCTTTAAAACTGAAGGGGAAAATAAAAGATAATTAACAAGTAAAATGAATGTAAAACTACAAGTAAGAATTTTTTTTTTTTAAGTCATGATAATAATAGTAATAATTTATTATTATTATTATTATTATTATTATTATTATTATTATTATTATTATTATTATTATTATTATTTTGGTAGAGCAAATAAGTCAACATCTATACCCACAAACAAACCAACGTGCAGGCACCTACTCAATTAAAATATATTATAAAAAAAAAAACACTATTTTCACAAAGATTTATAAAAAGATTTAATTGAAAGGGAATATTTTATCATCCTTATCTGTTTTTATTTTTTGATAAAAATTAAGTGGATGGAAATATATATCCAATATATTATGAAAATGTATTTTGATTGTAATGCAAAGTGACACTTGAAATGGTGTTATCGTTGCAATTAATATTTAGAACAATGGTGCGGATGTGGGAATAGAAAAGCCCAAATTGGGACCCATGATTATTATTCACCATGGGCCAATTGGACCCATATATTTCCACCCCTAATATATAATTCATTAATTTCTCTTATTTATTTGTAAAACAAACTATAAATAATTTAATAATTAACAATGTATCTGAATGGGGTTCTATTTTATTTTATCTTAAGTTAACATGGATATGTGTTTTATTTGTTTTTACTTTTTTTTATAGTTATAATATGATAGAATATGATATAATGATTAAATAAAAATATTATTATAAAATGAATATAAATATTAGTTATATCTAAATAATAATAATAGATTATAATAATGACACTGAAAATATTCATAAATAATAATGATGATAGTGAAAATTTAATAATAATAATAATAATAATAATAATAATAGAAAATGAATAAAATAGTGATAAATGATAATGAAGACAAAAATATTAACAATGAAAGTGTTGATTTGGTAATTATTATAAATTTAATAATAATAACATAAATAATAATATTAATAATAGTGACCATATAATAAATTAGATAAAATAGTGATATTAATAAAAAAAATAATAGTTATTCTCTTTTCATTTAATTTTTCTCCCTCTTCCTTTTTTTCTTATTATTATTTTTTATGCTCATTTAATAGTGTTTATTTTTATTTTTCTCTTTCATTCTCTTTTGTTATTTTCTCACTCTATTTTATTATTCCAATTAAAAATACTATATTAAAATTTGATAAAATGTATTTTTTAATATTTTAAAAAATATAAATATTTAAATTATCAAAAAATATTATATAATAAGTTTGAGGTATTACAAGTATTATTTTTATGTTATAATTATTTTAAAAATATTTATTTGAAAATAAATTTTTTAATTTTTTTTAAATTACCTATTCTAATCAACCATTAAGGCTCAATTTAATTCAAATACTAAATAATATATATATATATATATATATATATATTAACTTATAAATAAATTGTATTTTTTTAATTAGAAGAGTAATTAATTTATTATAATATTATAATTTTAAATTAATTATTCATGTAAATAAAATTTAATGTTATAATAAAAGAATATTTTGTGTCATAATAATTATAAATAGTTAGTTTATATTTGTTTAGTTTCAATATTAATTTTAAAAATATAATTTAACATATTTTAATTAAATTTTGATATGATAGTTTTAATTATAAGAATAAATGAGCGATGGGGAGAGAAAAGAGACATGGGATAGAAAAGACAAAAATCAGAAGAGAAAAGAATAATATATATAATTATGATAAGAGAGAAAAATAATACTGCATGCGAACAATAAATATATTTAGTTAGATAAATAAATTTATACTTAGGTAATTTTTATTTTTAAACATATTATATTATTTATGAAATTAATTGCTAAAAAAAATGAAAGTAATGATGAAGATAATATATACATAAAAAATGATGATAGTAAAAAAATATTAATAATAATTGAGGTAATATAAATATATATATATATATATATATATATATATATTTTGAGTGATGATAGTAAAAATATTAAAAATAATAACAATGAAAATAATATCAACAATAAAAAAAATTTTAAAAAAAATGGCGATGATAATAATGTCAATAATAATTAATAAAAGAAATTGTTTTATTGAAAACAAGTTATGTGAGAATAGAGGAAAAATTAACTACTTTATCTACTTTCTAATCTAACTTTCCCTTCCTTGTCTCATCTATCCATCCACTAAACACTTAATTACAAATAACACAATTATCTTAGCTTATCTTAATCATTAAATGCAACTTAAAATTATATTGAGCTAAATAATTTTATATATAAGCCCTATTTAATGTTACACATATAATTTTCTACATCCTAATATTTTATTTACCTTTAAAAATGTATATTTTTTATTTTATATCCTAATTAAAAAAAATCTTATCTATTGCTTGTAATCTTTTCTACATATTTTACTCGGAATGAATCTTAATAAAATAATAGTTTTCAACATATATCAAACATTAATTGTAATTTTCTAATACATAATTAATAATTTATCTTCTATGATGTTTTATTTTTATTTTTTTTATCTCGAGATGTTTGAAAATTTGTAGTTACATCATACTTAGTTTGTGATTTTGGTTTGTCAATAGAAAACAAAAGAAAATATTGGCAATGTACAAGGAAAACGGAATTGAATTACAATAAACACTACTACAAAATATACTTTCTACGTCGTTATTTAACGCTTCGGTTATAAACTGAGACGACGTAGAAAGTACTTTTCCACGCTCGGTTCTCGAGATGAACCGACGTTGAAATTGAATATTAAACACATTCTACGTCGGTTCTTAGTCAACCGACGTAGAAAGTACTTTTACGTCGGTTCCCATATGAGCCGACGTTGAAAGTCTTTTTTTATTTTATTTTTTACTTATCGATAGCGGTTATAAGGGAATCGCTATCTAAAGTGTATATTAGATAGCGGTTATAAGGGAACCGCTATCTAATATACACTTTAGATAGCTGTTCCTTATAACCGCTATCTAATATGCACTTTAGATAGCGGTTCCCTTATAACCGCTATCTAATATACACTTTAGATAGCGGTTATAAGGGAACCACTATTATATCCTCTCAATTATGATCGATCATTTCAAGTTATGATCGATCGAATCTAATTTCGCTCGAGCGAGGGTAGTGTCGCTCAGCGAAATACAACCCGAGAATGCTAATTTTGTGCAGGGGCGTTTCGCTCGAGCGAGAAGGGTGTCACTCAAGCGAGATACATTTTAGATAGCGGTTAACCTGGAACCGCTATTATATTGTTTCAATTATGATCGATCAGAATGTAGTTATGACCGATCAGAACTATTTTAATCGATTAAATCTCGTTTCAATCGATTAAAACAATTTCTGCAATGCGTTTTAATCGATTAAAACTTATTTTTATCAGTTAAAATTACTTGAAAAGTGTCACGAGAAAGTTTTGCAAGTATTTCAATCGATTGAATCGCGAAACAATCGATTAAATCAACTTAGAAGATTTTTTGTAAAGTGTTTTAATTGATATAAACGTTGTCGTATCGAGTTAAAACAAATCTGTTAAAGAATCAAGAACGTATTAATGGATTAAAAGAAGTTTTAACAGATTAAAACTGCACTTTAACGATTAAAGCTGCACTTTTAACGATTAAACCAAGTAGTTTTGAAAATCTTCTATAAAAACAGTTTGACTTGAACTTTTTAACATACATTGAATATATTATCTTTTACACATCCTTGAGCAATCAATCAATCGCTAATTGCGACCGAATTAAAGTGGGGGTTGGCTCGAGGTTAGAGTTCGACATCACTAGGGTATGCGTTAGGGTTCGAGCTCCGCTGGGTTTGCGTTGGGTTTCACAAGCATGACAATTGGGTTTGGCTTGACATTGGGGTTCGATGTCGCCAGAGTTGGGGTTCGGCCTCGAGTTCGTCGAGGTTGAGGTCGTGGTTGAGATTCGAAGTTACTATTTGACATTTTTCTAGTAGTGAAATTTACACGGATATATATTTATTTGTATATAAATATAATTTATTTGTAAGTTATTATCAAAAAATTCAAGTAGTTTAGTGGTTGGAGTATCGCCTCCAACTCTAAAGAATCTTGGGTTCGAATCCTGCCAATGACAATTCTCTTAAAAATTAAAAAACTTCTAAAAAATATAATATAAAGAGATGGAGGACCTAATAAAAATATAATATGAAGAGAGGGAGACTTCTAGATAAATAAAAGGGGGTAAAGGGATTGTAAATAAATAAAAATTATTAATTTAAAAAATCATACTTTCAACGTCGGTTATTAAACCGACGTTGAAAGCCTTCCAGAACCGACGTTGAAAGCTTTATTTGTAGTGAAAGAAAACCTTTTAAATGGAGAAAGATTTGAAGGAAATAGTTGAATCCAACTTTGAAGAGAAAGGGTATAGACTAATCAATGGCAAACACCTTTTAAACAACAATGTCATTTGAATAATATAAAATATCATTTTCACCCTAAAAAATAATTATGTTGACGTTAATTTAATAATACTATGATTAGAATTTAAAGTTGATATATGAGTTCAGAATTTGCATACCAGGATTGAGAAAAGTCCATTTACCATGCTTGAATCAGATGTCGTTAAAAGTAAAAGTTAAAACGAAAATGGTTAGTAGCTTCAGCAACAAGGGAACTTAACGACGTTGAACCCGGAACATGGTCAAAAGGTGGTAACTTTTAACATTTTTTGTTTTGTTTTTTTTACTACAATTTTACCCTACATGTTTCCTTAAACTTAAAATTCAAATCTTCAAATTACCCAATTCCTAAATCAAACAGCTTTTTCTTTAACATAATTCTAAATTTATTTGACTTTTCAATGAGTAGCAATAATAATACTATTGTTTATTCTTTCCAATTGTTAGTTAGATGAAACTGTTCCATTTCATAATTGTTTTTTTTTTTTTTTCATAATTCATTATATTAAAGTCACATGGAATTAATACAAGTTAAAAAAAGAACTCTTTTAAGATATTTAAAACAATTGAACATATAATTTATGTTTAGAGTGGAGAAAAAAAAAATGAAAAGAAGAGCCAACATTTAGGACATGATTAAAAGAAAAAGAAGTGGGTGTCATAGATTGAGCATCAAATGAGGCCTACAATGGCCTTTGAATTCATGCAATTAATTATCTTGACTTAATCATCCTTTTTAAGCTAACCAAAGCCATAGAAGATAAGTTGTTCCACAAACCATATGCCCCAACACCATAATTATATATCTCAAATCCGTTAATTAATGGCAAAATAAAACATTTGGTGCACCATTTGTAACCAACAACAACAAAGATGAGTGTGTCCTCCTCATGTATGTATGTCCCTCACATTCACCAATGACCCTTGTGGTTGTGGGTCCTCATCACTCAGCTTCTGCATGTTTCAAAAGTTAAAATAAGGTTAAGAGATTCCTTGAAAGGTCATATCTTTGCTTGTTTAAAAAGGAAAAAGCATTACAAGGGGAGTTCGGAAATCCCATAAATGTTAATCTAATGTTTTTGTTCCTCTCTTTGAGCTGTGATGTTTTTCTTTTATAACATCTTAGACCCTCTGCAAACAATGAAAAAGTATAAAGTTGATATTTTTTGATACTTCAGTACATAGGTTCTAATGTCTATTTGAACAAAATATTCATGTAGTGGTTGTGATAGTGGTGCAGGATTCCCCCAACAATGGCTTAAATGAAACAAGTATATTGTCGTTTCTAAGTTGGACAGCAATTATGGGATTGTTTCCATAATGAAGTTGCTCTGTGGAAATTATAACAATTATTCACACTCTACAAAACCACCCACTTATTCAGAATTTCAGATTCTTTTTTCTTTTTCATTGAAAGTATTTCAACTCAATTGTTAGAGATTAGTTTCTTTAAATTATGAAAATTTATTAATAGTCAAATCGAAAAGCAAGAAGGTCCTATTTATTGGTAACAAATCATATCCCACAATCTTATGTTATAGATACGGGAATATTGTTTATATACTAAATTCTCGTGTACTAGTACAGATACAGAAATTCTTTTGAGATTGGTGAATAATTTTGATGCCAATTGACGAATTAGTGATTTTCGTTTTTATGGATTCACACGTTAATTTACAAAAACTATGTTGCTAATAGATAAGAAAATTTGATTTATATGAATTTCAAGATAATTAGTTTATACTCATAGTTCGCTTAAGAGTGAAAAAAAAATTAGTTTATATACAATTCCTCTAATATATCTCTTAAGCATAAAATTATAACAGATTAAACTTTTAAAACAAACACAACTCAAAAATGTCTTATCCAAAACAATAAATTTATTAAACATAATAATTTATGATTATATAATAAAATAAATATATGATTTGTTATTATCTCTCTTTTTATCTTCCTTCCCTAGTTTATTTTCTCACAAAATCTTTTTTTTAATGTCCGTATTATGTATTTTGATTCATAATATAATAATTATTTTTTTCTCTTTCTTAAAAATAGAAAAAGCTCGAAGGTATTAAATATTTAAATGATGAAATTTTAAGATATTATTAAAATGATACAATAAAAAATTATAATTTTGATTCTCAACGAAAATAAATGACATCCCTATTATTTCATTTAGTTTATTTTGTCATGTCAGTTACCAAATAATAGAATGTGATGGTCACCCATAAACTTACTTCTTTTCATATAATTGCATATAAGACTGCACATGACATTATTAACAAGATAAACTTAAATAGAAAGCATCATGTGACATATGCAACAATGGAAAATTTTCTCAATATTTTACTGCTCATGAGCCACACGTGGTGAATGAGTCAAGTGATGTAAAAAAAAATGTCATAAAAATTACTCATCATATGAACCTGATCTTCTCACGGCCATCTTCACTGTTCACTACCTACATCTCTATACATGAAATAAGTGGAAAATTTTAGGTTATTAATTAAAGGAATACACTATTTACTGTTTATTAAGTTATTAATTATGTGGTTAACTCTTCATTTTCAATTAGAATTTTTTAGATTACAGCTTAGCAAACATAATTTCTCATGATAAAACCAACCATATAAAAAATTGTTGAAAATGTGACTGTGTGAAATTTTATGTAATTCAAAACAATATTCCCTCAAAAGTAATTTCTGAACATTCTATGGAAGGACGAAAATTGAAAAAAGAGGGTAAATGGGAAAGTGAAATCCGACAGAATGATGATGTGGGACATAGGGAAGTGCGAAGTTATGTCTCCCTCTACCACTGGCACAGCGTAGCATTGGCATGCCAAAAAGCAATTGTTCCCTACGTTCCAAACCTTCATCATCGCTTCTAAAATCACCCCTTTCATTTCATCACGCAATCCCTATATATACCCTCCCCTTCACCCTCTTCCTTTTCCCACCACCTTTCCCTTTCCACTCACACTCCCATGCTTATGCTAGCTTCTCCATCATCCCAGCTATTTCACCTTTCACACCAGTTGGAATGTGACAGATAGAGTGGTGAGTGAGGGAGGGAGCACGTGGAACAAGTCTGTTTCTTCACAATTTTACAATCTCTTGTGCTTTCAACTTAATGTCTACCATGGCTGTTGGAGCATTGTTCCACAAAATGACGACAATGGTGACTTCTGATCATGCTTCCGTCGTCTCTATGAACCTTTTTGTTGCACTTCTATGTGCTTGCATCATCATCGGTCATTTGTTGGAGGAGAACCGATGGATCAATGAATCCATCACTGCCCTTCTCATTGTCAGATTCCTAATCTACCTAGTACTCTTAATACTTGCTTTTTTTTGTAGCTATCAACATCAAGATGGGTTTTTAGAAGAAATTGCCTTTTTCTTTGGCAGGGTCTTTGTACTGGGGTCTTTATACTGCTCACGACTGGAGGAAAAAGCTCTCATATACTGGTCTTCAGTGAAGATCTTTTCTTCATTTACCTTCTCCCACCCATCATTTTCAATGCCGGGTTAGTTCATTACTCTCTTTTACCTTTTCCTTTTTCTTTTTGACAGATTTCAATTGCATGCTGAAGCTGAACTGCATAATTTAAGTTTCATTTAGTTGGGGAAACCAATAGATGTATTCACTGAACTAGTGCTCTAATCTGAATGGATTTAATGATCACCGTGCAGCTTTCTCTCTAACTGACTTCAATGTCAATTACCTTTTTTATTCTGTAACTGTTCCAGGTTTCAGGTGAAGAAGAAACAATTTTTCCGCAATTTTATGACTATTATGCTCTTTGGTGCAGTTGGTACTTTGATATCATTCTGCATCATATCACTGGGTAATTTAAGTCTTCAATTAATTATTCTTTATAAATAACATTACAAAGTAATTTCAAATCATATTTGGTTGTGAGCACTTTGTGTCCCAATTTGTTTATAAGTCTTCTTTATTTTGAATAGGTGCCATACACTTTTTTCAGAAGTTGGACATTGGTTCGCTGAAGATTGGAGATTTTCTAGGTGTGCTTAAATTACCTCCTTCTTTTACAATAATTTGTTGAAATTAACTGCAAACATGAAACATTTCCCATTAGCCTCCTATCTCTACTTACCTGTGTCAACTGAATGCAGCAATTGGAGCAATATTTTCAGCAACAGATTCAGTTTGCACCTTGCAGGTATAAATGTCAAAAAAAACACTCTGAAACTTCTTTCTTTCCCCCTCCTTATACTGAAAATGATCATATGTGTGTGGATGCTTCAGGTTCTTAATCAGGATGAGACTCCTCTACTATATAGCCTGGTCTTTGGGGAGGGGGTGGTAAATGATGCTACCTCTGTAGTACTCTTCAAAGCAATTCAGAATTTTGACCTCTCTCACATTGACTTAACCACTGCCTTACAGTTAATAGGAAATTTTTTATATTTATTCATTGCAAGCACTGTGCTGGGAATCTTTGTAAGTTTTCCTACCACTTTCTAATATTTTCCCGAATGTTCTTGTTTGCTTGGGATTATTGATTTTTTATGTTGATGTTTTTCAGGCTGGATTGCTTAGTGCTTACATTATCAAAAAACTTTATTTTGGCAAGTTAATAAGGTTCGTTCTAAATTCCACTAATATTCAACATGCTTAACCACTGCAATGAAATATCTCATAAAATTGTTGGCGATCAGTCTTTGATTCCTTTTTATCACAAATTCCAGGCATTCTACAGATCGTGAGGTTGCTCTCATGGTACTCATGGCATACCTTTCATATATGCTAGCTGAAGTAAGATTTTCTCGGAAGCTTGGTCACCATTTTAGTGTAAATAATTCCAATGCTAACTAATTTATTTCTTTGGCAGCTATTCTCTTTAAGTGCCATTCTGACTGTTTTCTTCTGCGGCATTGTTATGTCTCACTACACGTGGCATAATGTAACTGAAAGTTCAAGAGTGACAACAAAGTACGTGAAATTCTTCATTACATTATACATTTACAAGATTGTTTCTAGTGATATTACTTCACTGGTTTTAATTTCTCTTTTGCAGGCATGTTTTCGCCACTTTGTCATTTATTGCTGAAATATTTATCTTCCTCTATGTGGGGATGGATGCACTAGATATAGAAAAGTGGCGAATTGTAAGTCAAAGGTAAAAAAAATTTGGATGAATCAAACTGCCTTGAAACTTCTTTGTCAAGAGTGAAATTAACATTTGGATCTCTTCTTCAGCCCAAGAAAATCAATTGGGGTCAGTTCGTTGCTGCTGGCACTTATCCTAGTGGGAAGAGCTGCATTTGTTTTCCCTTTGTCTTTCTTATCCAACTTGCTTAAGAAGTCTCAATCTGAGAAAATTGAGTTAAAGCAACAGGCATGTGTTCTTCTTCCGCTTCCTTTTCAGGGTCTTAAACTCTTCATAAGTGAGGTGTTACATTGCTACAATGATTTTGTTTTGCAGGTAACAATTTGGTGGGCTGGTCTCATGCGTGGAGCTGTTTCTATTGCACTTGCTTACAATCAGGTAAAGGAATCAAACTTCATTGCTTTCAATTCTTCATCTGCTAGAGTTGTTGGGTCTTTTATTAAATAGACTACTTTTTCACATGCAGTTTACCAGGCTGGGCCATACTATATTGCGCGAAAATGCCATCATGATCACTAGTACCATTACTGTTGTACTCTTCAGCACATTGGTTAGACTCTAATCTTCTCTTGATCAGCACGGTTTGTAGTAATTATGCCATGCCCCAAATGTTCAATTATATAACACTGGTTGCTTGAGGAATATTGTATAGTCTAAAATTATCTCTACGTGATACATAATTGAGTTTTTCAACGTATGAGTATGATAAAATTCAGCTATATATGCGTCACATGAAGATGGAGTAGTAGTGTAGGGCCATGCAATAATTTTTTGTTGGGGATAGTCTTGGTATGATATTGAACCCAAATAAACAAGTAACGAAATGATGTTTCCCCAGAGTGATAGGAGTCCCCACTAGTTGAACATGAGAAAACACAGTTCCTTGGTGGATTTGGAGAAGTGTCATTTTCTTATAATGTAAAGGAAAGGGTTGTTTGATACGTGTGATTCCCCCATGATAACATGGAGTATGAAAAAGCGACCAATAATGCTTTCGAAATAATGTGCAGGCCTTTGGGTTGATGACGAAGCCACTTGTGAGGCTATTGCTTCCTTCTTCTAAGCAAGTAATGAGCTTGCCGTCCCCACCATCGACACCAAAATCATTCACAGTGCCACTTCTTGGCAGTGGAGGAGAGGATTCATCATGGGCCAATGGTGTCACCCAAAATGGGTCTCCACCAAGCACCTTTAGGATGCTACTAAGCTGCATTCCTACTCGTGGGGTGCACCACTATTGGCGCAAGTTTGATGATTCTGTCATGCGACCCGTGTTTGGTGGACGAGGTTTTGTGCCCTACGTTCCCGGGTCACCCCTTGAACAAAGTGTTCATCAATGGCATGGCAGTTAGAACAGACATATTACATAATATATACATATAGATACTGATGATTGATTGAACGTGATGGATGGTTGGTTGGTGTGGGTGTGGGTGTGGTGTATGTAAAATCGGCTTGGCTTTGGTTGTGTGCACTTTTGTTAATAGTTTTACAACATTTCAACTTCACATGCGTGATACTAAAAGAGAAGAAAGAGACACGAGGAAAGAAGGAAACAAGGTTGTTTAGGGGAAGAACTTATGTACACAAGGGATTTTTTTGGTCACCCTGATTTTGCTGACATAGAGAAAGAGAGGGGTTGCTTGCTTTTTAGTTAAGTTGTTAACTTGATGCTGCTAAGGTGATTCGAATTTTGTGTGTATACATTATGGTATGGATGCAAAGGTCTTGACAGTTAATGTAGTTTTTGGTGCTGCTTGGTTTTGAACTTGTCAGTTGTAACATTGGGTTTGCGATCATATTCAAAATGATAGTACCATTTTTGCTTGTAAGGCACAGAATTTTCGCGTAGGAATGATTAAGCTTTGGACATTTGTTTCCCTTGGCTATTGTACAAAACACAGTGCGAATTGATCTAGCTATATCATTTCATAATTACTCCAGTATCTATTAATTATTAATATAGAAAGAGATATAAATTATAGTTTTTGAGAAAGAAAAGAAGTAGCAGAGACCTTCATGGCTGACAATAGCAAGAAACTACCAAGGGTGTCAAAATAAAAGCACTGCTGAAGTAATGATTTCAGTAGGTAATTGAAATGACAGAAACTTGTGTACATAATAAATTCACTCTAACTGAAATTTAAGAATGTCATGATCTTACTTTTGAATACTCATGCACAACAAAACCTCTTATAAAGTGTGATTTTTATTTAGTTTTATATTGGTCTAGCAGACCAACGAGCTAAATTAGTTTTAATTCAAATTAAATAAAATCGAAGACAAAGAGCCTCAGCTCGTCATTTCCACTAATGCTTAATTCAGAACGCATGATTTGCCAAAGACGAAAAGAAAATCAAGAAATGGGACGGAGAAGAAACAAGTTTCTATTTTCCGTTCATTTTTTTTCTTAGTTTTTTTCCCTCTTTATCAAATGGAGACTAAGTCAAGACAGCTTATATATTTTACAAATATATTTTGAATATATAGTCTGAACCCATCCCGCGTTTGGTATAAAATATAGTTTTTTTAACCTACGAAATTAGAACAATATACTTTTTATTTTTGGTTTACTTCTAAAAAAAATGTTTTTTAAGAATTAAGTTTAACCAAATCTCCTATAAAAATATTGTCATAAGGGTTTAAGGATATTTTTTTAATTTAATTAAAATTTTAATAAGAAATCATAGACTGTTTGCCTAATCAATTGAGACTTTTTTTTTTCATAAAAAAATTAAAATATTATGGGATCCTCTCAAGGTGTATTGAATTAGGATTGAGTTACAATCCCCACCTTACTTAATAAATTTTTTAGGATTTGAGTTAAGTATTTTACAATAATTTTTAAGAAATATAATAAATCATAAATAATAAAATATTAATAAATTTATATTCAATAAAATAATTTTCATTTTTCATTGATTTCTAACTTATTTTTCTTCTTTTCTTTTTTTCATTCTTTTTCTTTTTTTTTCTCCTCTATGTCTTTTCTGTAGCAAACGGAAGTCAAGAACTCTTGATTTTCTGCAGATATATTTTGAATATCTAGTGTGACCTCACACTGCGTTTGTTTATTTTAAAAAAATGAAATTATAAAAATCTATTTCTTATAACTGGTTTACTTATTTTAAAAAAATAAAACATGCGTTTAATTTCACACTTCTTGGGCTCATCTATCAAATTGGGCACAAATAGAGTACTCAATTCTAACAAGTGCCCATGACTACCTAACTGGCAAGACCAGACTGATTCTATACAATGATCTAGCAAAATACTGGTGTATTAAGATTGTTTATTTTGTTATTTTATTGGACTGAACTATATGTAAAAATCATTTCAACATGGACAAAATATACAAAAAAAATATTTTTCTTACTAAGTTATTGTAAATAATATTTTCTATTTAATGCAGGTATTCATTTTAAGCTTAATAATGTGAACTGTAGTTAAAAAATAATAACAACAAATAGAAGTGGTTAGGCAATTCTATTTTTTAAAATTCTAAAGCTCCTTTTGAGAAAAAGAAAAACTATTACAAAATTAAAAAGTTAAATTCACTAAAAGTTCATTATGACACTAGAAGAATATACTGATAAAAAATATTGTACAAAACTAATTAACTTTTATATTGGTTTATCACCCACTTCTTATTCAATTAATTAATTAATTTACGTTAATAGAAATTAGAAGATGTGGTGAACCAAAAAGGAAACTAAAAAGTTGAGTAGGTCTGTTGTCCTAAAGAAGTCAACGAAGATACCCAAATATCAGAATGCTGCTTATTATACTTGTATTAAAAGGCTTAATTCACTTTACACCAATTCACAAAGCTTTTTTCCATAGTAAATATTAACATCTGTCAAGTAAAACAATCACAATAAACAAATGAACCATCCTCTATCCCACTCATTACGGAGAAATCCATGATTTTGGAGCGTCTGCTATCCTATACACGCACTTTTCTCCCTCAAGGATGAATATAATATCCAACTGCCACGCTAACCAGAGCAACCATGCAAACAAATAGAAATGGAAACCCACCCTGAGTTCCTTTGGTATTCAATGCCCTCTTCAACACCTCCTACCAAACACACGGAAATGTTAATATCAGAGATTGAAAATAATCAAATTTTAAATAAAAAACTATAACAGCTCAATACTTAATTGCATTGCTTTAAAGGGACAGAATTTGATAACATAAAAAGATAAGGATCCTTTTCTCAATAGATTTACGAGAAGAAGAATAAAATAAAAACGTACCAACTCTTTCTTCAGCAAATCTTTTTCTTCCATGTTCCTGCGCCTCTCCTCATTCAGATTAGTGATGGTTAGCGCAGCCTGAAGAGATTATAACCGTATGCTGATTGATTTCTTTCATCTTTGAAGTTAAAAAAATTAAGGAGGTGCAACTTAAGGAACTATCTCCAGGTCTTGACCATAAGCTGAGATAACATTTTGTAAAATTTACCGATATGGCATAAACCTTTAAAGTCACTAGAGTTTGACAGTGGTTTCTATTTTTATAAAATTAGTACATTGAGCAGTTAACCAAATATTAGAGACCTTGAAAACAAACCCTCTAATTATTTCTTCATCGATTCCCATTTAAGATACTAGAGAAATCAATTTCAGATATTTTGGCAGTAAAATTGAGATGGAATTTTAATAAAGTAAAAGTGACTCATGGAATAGAAAACTAACATAAATATGACTCTGGCAAAGAATTTGCTTGGATAATTTGTTTTCTACAAATTCTTGTAAGACAAATAAAATATGATTTTTTTTCGAAAGTTAAAATTAATTTTAAATAAATTGACTTATTTAAACTATTTAGTTTTTTTAATTTATGCATAAAATAATTTCAAAAATTTAGAAAAACTTGTTGTTTTATTTTCTTTTTCTATGAGTGTTTATCAAAAAATTTATCTAGAGTTAAAGTTTAATCTAAATTCATGATCTCTAACCTCTCTTAGCTTTGAATCCATTGTACTAAGCTTTGACTTCAATTCCTCAGATTCGTTAACTAAATTCATCTGCACGTCGTCTTTCGCTGGCTTCGTGTCAACCACATTCTCAGTTTGTCTTGGGACAATGTCCCCTTCTGCTCTATCCTCCTTCTCATGCTGGATTGGTTCCAAACCTTTAACTTCCTCAGAAACCTGATCATGAAAATAATAAATGGTAGAGACAATAATTATCTACCAAGCGATGGAACAGAACATTATATACTACTATCATGTAAAATTAGCTATTGGTTCACACAAAGTTAAACATTGTTATTCATAGTCCATTACAACAAGTCTACAATATATTTCCGCAAAAAATAGATACTGAATCTTCGAAATGAAAGCAACTCAATAGAAAGAGAGAGAAATTGAAGTTGAAAAGGGGAACGATGAAAGGGGAGGAGCTCACTGTGCGAAGGGGAGGTATGTTTTCAACTCCACTGGGCACCCTATCTTTTTGCGCATCAATTTCGTAGGATGGGTCTTGCTTCATATAACCATTTACTGGAAGCAACACCGGAGAAGATGTTGGGCTGATGAGGACTACCCTTAGTTTCTTCTCCTCAATAAATTTCCCACTGTCTTTTGCAAACTGTCAAAAGAGAAGGAGTTTATAATCAAAGTCTACCAAAAAAGAAAAAAAAAAAAAAAGAGGGAGAGAGTTAACTTTTGAACTAGATCTTACTCCTTCACATGTTACAGGCATCTCAACACATGGAGAAAATAAATAAATAATGATGTTTGGTTTGTGGGTACGAAGAATAGTATCGCAACCGGTTGAATATCAGCATTATAAACAGACGATTTCATCTAATTCTCACCTCATTTTGATCTTGTCAAAATTTTTAATACACAACATTTATCAAATTTTTCATACATAACATTTATCAAATTTTCTTTCCTTTTTTTTATTTCTCTTTCTTCCATTTCATAAATGATATTAGACCCCTCATCTCTCACAATCTCTTCCCAACTCCTATCACATCACATCTATCAATTTCTCATCTCGTTATCTCTCGTCTTGTCACATCGAAAGGTGTTGTCTACCAAAAATCTTCCATAAACTAAACAGCCTTACCATATCATATGTGATGTCAGCTTCAGTGGTTCCAAACGGGACGACAGTGCTCTGAATCAGAAATTTGTCTTTGCAGTGCATATCAGGCGGTGCAATGCGCTGAGCTTGCATAGTAACTGCATCGGGCACGCACATCACGAAAAAAAAAAAAATACATAAACCATAAAGCAAATGCGTGGTGCGTCAAAACTTCCATTGATATGATAACGGAAAAATACCAGTAAAGTCACATTTTTCATTGGGCTTGACTATGCCAATGTTGGGCCTGACGCAATATTTCTTCGGTGAAGTTGTTTTTACCTACGAGCAGAGACAGATGCGTTTTGACATTGGCATTTGATTGATTTGGCTAATGAAAGGGTGGAATGGAATGGAAAAAAAAAAAAAAAAAGGAGGGAAGGAAACGAAGGGAACCTTAAACGCAATATAATGATCAGTGTTGTTCCCAAGTTGAACCAAAGCTGAGCTTTGTTTCTTCAATTCAACTACCGGAAAAAACAGAGAAACCACATTGTGGGGTGATCATTGGCCATTGTGCTTAAAGAGGGGACAATTTTTTTGAATTTAAGAAACGAGAGACTTACAGACGAATCGGAGTTCGGGGGAATCGATTTGAAGAAGCTCGGTAGCCATGGGTGTTGTGTTGTGCAAAATGAGACGGTGAAGGAGAAAGAAATGGAGAAAAAGGAACTTAGAGTAGAATATAACCCTAATTGGAGGAGGGAGAGAAGAACGAGATTTGTGTGTTGTAGTTGTGGATGAAGAAGAAAAGCAAAGAGAAAGAGATGGAAAGAGAAAGAGAAGAAAGAAGTGTTGGTGTGTTGCGTTGTGTTGGGATGGGATGAGTTGAGTTGTTACTTTGGAATGGGATGGTTGGCATCGTCAGTTACGGAGTGGGCCCTCACTCACTCCCTGCGGTTCCATCCATTCCCTACCCTCTTCTACTTTTACCCTTTGATTAACCGATAATACTAGTTATAATCATTAATTAGTCATAGGTAAGTATAATTAATTTTTACTTTATTTTATCACCTGTATATTTTCTGACAACATGCTCTTTACCAGAAAAAGAAAGAATTGTTTGTGAGAGCTTTTAATGCTAACGATGAAACAATTTGATTGTGTAATATAAAGGAATATAATTGGAAAGTTTGAACCAATGATCCTTGTTTTAAATGTAATCTCGCTTTAAAGGTACTTTACTTGGATATTCGGTCTCTTGGTTAAGTTAATACTATATATTGCAAATAAATAAAAGTTTATTACTCACATAATCTTTCATTATAAAATATGATAAGATGCATAATGCAGAACACTAACCTCCCACACCAAGAGGATCACATGGGGATTTCTTTCCCACTGGGTTTTCTAGTTGTCATGCTTTCTATTTTCACTCCAGTTTTTTTTTTTCATTTATACAACGCATAAATATAAATGTAGTTATATGTAAAAGTAAGTTGTTTAAAATAATTTTAGCCCTAAAAAAGTTTTTAGATTTACGTTTGATTTTTAAATACTATAAATATGACATAAGGTTTGTTTCGCACCATTATTTTATTTTAAAAAAATTATTTCTATAGTTATCAAAAAGCGATTTCAGGTTATTATATTCGGAAAATCTAAATATTCATGTGCTAAATAGTTTTTATGCCCATAGTGAAGGCGAGAGAAAGTGGTATATCCACAAAAATATAAAAATCCTATTTACTATATTACACTAACCACTTAAAAAAAAATTAAGTATTCCGAGTAAAGTGTATAATAAATTTTCCTAACATTATAATTTACGTGATTTTTTTTATATTACGGGGAATACGTATTACATGTTGTTTTAAATTAAGCTCGTTTTTATAATTTATAATTTCGTAAATATATAATTTTGGTCTTACAAAATTTATTTGAATATTTATTTTATTAGATCGAGTTTTTATTATTATATAAAATTATTTAATATCAAATTACAATTAATTCCGATGGAAATTAAACTAGTTATATCATGTTGATTGCGAGGTTCAAACACGGTACAATTAATACAAAACATAATAGTTGACTTTTTTAAAATTCAACCATTGTGATTTATCTGATGGTAATACTCTTGCATATTGATCATTTTATATATTATTATTTAATACCCATGTTCATTATTACATGCTTCATCATGTATATTAATATTTTTATACATTATTACTTCACATCTATTATTATTTTGCGTTTAAAAACAATTTTAAAAAAAATCAGGTTTCCTCTACTGCGTATCTATCCATACAGATAAATATATCAACGTGGTATTTGTTTTGAAATTTTAATAGGTTATTATTTTAATTAAAATATATATTATTTTTTATGTGGACTTTTAAATTCTATAAAATTAAAATCTAAAATATTTACCACACTAATCAAGAGTGATAAATTAGTCTATAAGTTCGCTGATTGCTAGCGGGAAGTGGTTTAGGAGAACAACAATGTTTCATGAATTTTCTAGAAAAATAAAAATCATAAAATAGAAATTAAAGTAATAGCCCTTTTTTCTCTTTCTTTGGCTTTTTGGTTGATTGAAAATGGTGGGGACTATTGCCACGATGCAGTAGAAAAATCCAAAACCAAAAAAGAAAAAAGTTTTTTATTTTATTTTTTTTACGTTACTTTTTGTTTATTCCATTTGTAATTTTGTGAGCAAGATGACAGCTAATCAATTGAATAAAATAATCACTGACACAAAGATTAATAATTGATTTCTTCTAGTTATGATTTTTTTTTTAAATCATGTTTTACAAAGTTACATGGGATGAGAATAATGTGTTTTAATTATATTTAAATTGTGAAGCATGACTAAGAATTTGAATTTGCATGATGCAATTTGTGAGAGGATGGATGTTAACAGTAACGAAAGAAAATCATGTTCATATTTATATTTTAAAAAATGATAAAAAAGGGATATTAAATATTTGGAGATGGTAGTTGGAAAGTAGTATTATTGATTTGTGTGTTAATCTGAAAGAGTGATGTGGTGTAAAGGATACCGATGGGAGATATATAGGTACACCAAACTAATGCCTACCCTCTCACTGTACTCGTTTTGTAGACCCATTGTATTGTAACATAAGTTTTAATAGATTTTTTCATTTTTTTTTTGCTTTTCTATATTTATAAATTATTAACTTAATTAATTATTTTAAAAAATTATTATATTTTATTCATGTGAATTTTCATTTCAATATATAATAAATATTAAAAAACTAAAAATATGTTATAATATACTAAATTATATCTTTAGATATAATTAATTAAGTTATAATTTTTTAAAATATTTTTATTAAATTTATCTTTTATAACAAAAAATAACTAAATTTAATCATTTTTTAGTGTAAAATCAATATTTAAAACAAATATAAGAAAGACTGACGTTACATATTGTTATCATCATCATAACTTTATTATTGTTAATAATTAAAATAATCATTACTATTTTTACTAATATAAATATTATTCTCCCATGATCAAAACAATCATTATTGTTCATATTTATATTCATTAATATTCTTAGTTAGTGGTCAGTACTATTATTATAGATATTTTTGCTATCATTATTTTAATATTTATTATTATTATTATTATATTATTAATGTTTTAAATTTTAATAAAAATATGAATTTAATTTTTAATTTTTTTAATTACATTTAATAAAATAATATTTTCATAATATATTAAAAAAATAAAATTATTAAAATAAGATAAAAATATAATAAGTAATTATTATTTAAAATTAATGTAATTAATATAAACTAAAAAAATAAAATACATTGTATTTTTTATAAAAAAATTATATTAACAAATTTGATATTTTTCTTTTTTACTAAAATTTATTTGATTAAAAAATTTATGACTTTTTTTAATTTTATCGATTTTATCTCTCTTTTTTTAATTTATTTTGATTTGATTGGAGTGGTTATTTTAAAATAATATGTTCCTGATTGAATCAATATAATCACTCAAAATATATTATCATGTAATTTCTATCATAAGAGATATAATTTTTCAATTATTATTTTTGAAATCAAATTAATCCAGACAGTTTCATCTAAAAATAAAAATAATTTATATATATATATATATATATATATATATATATCAATTGTTAAATGAAAAATACTGGTTTAATTAATTAAATAATAATGGATGTCGTTTTAAACTTTGAAAATAATATAGAGTTTTTTTTTAAATTAATAACTGAAAAAAAGATAGAACAGTGCTAAAATAATAGTTTTATGTTATTAAACGGTTAATGGACTGATTCTCGTATTTAAATAATTAATTTGGTATGTTACTCACAGATATATGATCTATTATTAACTTCTTGTAACTTTTTTTAAATTGAGTTTTGTAAATAGAAAACATTTTATACAAATTAATTAAAAAAACCATAAAAAATATCATTAAGCTAAAAGAGACGTTTGTTCCTTTTTTTCATTTTTTTTTAATATAAAAGTGATAATGTTTATCCGTTGTTTATTAGGAGCCTGTCAAATAATATTATTCAGTATATTTTATTTCAGAAAATTACATTCTCTTCTTCATGAACATTTGTTTACTATGAAGACATATTTTCATGAAAGCAAGAAAATATATTTTTAACTTCTTATATACTTCCATTTTGTTTTATTTTCTTATTTAAAACATTTTAAAATTTCAAAATAAAAAATAAAAAAGTTAACCAATTATATGTTTAAACAACTTATGACAGCAGCATAACATTCCTAAAAATTGCGTTATATTCAAAATAAAAATAAAAATAGTACAGAAATTTAAAGAATGATGCATATGGAGAAAAATGAATCAATTCATTTAAGAGCCAAAAAAATATTCTTTATTTTTTATTTACTCTTTCATCATTTAAGAAATGTTAAAAAAAACTGCAATAAATAGAAATGTTAAATTCAAACTTTATTTTTAATAAAGATATCTAGATTAATTAATGTTAGTTATAATTTTTTTTCACTGATAATGAAATTGATGTTTAAAAAAAATTATAAAACAAATGTAGAAAACAATATAATTTGATAAGATTATAAATGTTAGAATCAAATTAAATCTTATAAATTTTTTGTTTCTCCCTAACTATTATAATATATTGTTGTGTATGATATATGATATAATGTAATATAAAACAAATTAAACGTATTAATATGAAAGTGTATAATTCGTAATTACTATTTAGATTTATAGATCTATTTGCTTTTTAACATTTAATATAACTAAATTAATTTAAAATAAGTTTTAAACTAGGTTAAATTTATAATAAATAAATATATTAAATTCAAAATTTGTTTTAAATAAAGATTAAACTTAAAATTATTAAAATATAGTTAGCTAAATTAAACATTTTTTCATCTTATAGTTTTTTAATAATTTTTATAAAAATAAAAAAAAATACCAATTGTGCATTAACATTTTTAAATAAAATTGCTTCTAAAAGCATTTAAGTATTAAAATAAATAAAATATCAATTCAACTTAATTGCACTCTTAGTGTTTTTACTATACTGAAAATAAACATTGATTCTGTTCATGGATTTATTTATTACTTATCTATTATCTTTCTTAATGTAAACATATTGAAAATTGACTCCATTATTGTTTGGTGTATATGAACCTTTGTTTATACATTTATTAACTCAATAAATAAAATATATACCATCATAAAGTGAGATAAAGTTATGAAAAACAAATTAAATTATAATCATAATAAAGAAACTATGTGAATTAAATGGTTTTTTTTAATGATGATGATGTAATTTGATGCAATGCGTCATCTTGAATGCAGCAAGGCATTGTTTGGAAAGGGGGTTGCGTGAGGAAACCAGACTTAGAGAAAATTACTAGGATGGAATAGCAGAGAAAGAAGGCAACCAAAACCAATCAAACAAACAAAAAGACATCATCGAAAGTAACGAAACCAACCAACAAAACCAACATTGATTGAAGGCGCATTTATTTAGTATAAAGAATGCACTTGTCACGCTGTCACCAATTTCATTTGCTCCAACACACTCTTTCTAGTTTCTTTCCACCTTTCCTCTCTTCTCTTCAAATCTCTCTTCTCTAATGGCTTCCATCACTTCTTTCTCCGTCACCTCATTCAATCAAACTCACACTCTGGTATTATCATAGATCTTCTTTGTCTTTTTTTTTTATGTGCATGCACCAAATTCATTAATTCATTTGATTAGATTTTTATTATTATCAATGTTATAGCGTTAATTTGTATGTTACATGGTTTTTCATTCATAAGCATTTGGAGGTATACTATACAATAATTATATCATCTGAGTTAACTCTGTGCATATCATCACAGATAAAGTAAAATTTAATGTTTATATAGTTTGTTTTGCTTGTTGGATGAAACAATAGGTACCTGGTTGCAGAATCTCTAACTCGAGCTCAGTTTTCCTTTCAACCAAGGGGAGAACTTTTTCACCCCTTACTTTGCAGCGTAGAGTACCTCGCTTTCAAATTGCATGCGCAGTAAGTATATAATCACTATTTGTGTGCTATTTTTCCCTGAATTCATCGTTGTATTACATTTATCTGTTCTGAAGGTTGAAGAATGGTTAGGTATTTGTAATTTTCCTAATCTTGTGTTCCTGATTTCATAGATTTTTGTGTTTCTGTGTTGATTAGGCCAGACCAGAAACTGTAAAGAAGGTTTGTGACATAGTCAAGAAACAACTGGCACTGCCAGATGGATCTTCTGTCACCGGAGAATCCAAGTTTTCTGCACTTGGAGCAGATTCTCTTGACACGGTATTATCACATTTATTAATTTTACCTATGAATTGTGGTCTTGACATAAAATCGCAGTGATCACAGTAGTTATTAACTCACTATTGTCACCAAGTACATGCTTCCATAATTTTTTACTTTTTGGATGAAATTGCTATTAGTTTTAGTCATTCACAAACCTCTCCTTCTCTGCTTGTAATTTTTGTCTTTGACAAAAGCCTCAAGATACTGAACAAAGTAATTTGTTTCTCCCCTAGGTTGTTCTTGTTAGGAACAAGACAATAATAAAGGAAAGAATGAAGGAGAGAAAAATAAAGGACACAAGAATTTTAACGTGGTTCGGCTAAAATATGTATGCCTACGTCCACGACTACACTAGGAAGTAATTTTTATTTCTGTGTGTATCTCAAACTTTACATAGGGTTGCTTATATAACAAAATAGAGAACCTCATCTCACAATCCTAATCGATGTGGGACTAAATCAAGCACCATAATACTAACAATTCTCCCACTTGGAGTTTGATTTACGTTACCACCTAGTGTAGTGCCTTCATCATCAATTTGCTCGAAGGCCAGTTGAGGCAATGCAAAGCCTCAACTTAGTTGTTGTAACAGATCTTGGTCAACATATCAGCGGGATTCTCTCGCACTGGAATCTTCAACAAACTCAAGTCTCCATCATTTATCGGGTTTCGATAAAATGATACTTCAATTCAATGTGCTTACATCTCGGAATGAAGGATTGAATTTTTAGCAAGACAAATAGCACTTTGATCGTCACTAAACAACGGAGAACCATCTTGTTCTCTTCCTAATTCTTTTAGAAGGTTCTTCAACCATATCATCTCCTTCGCCGCTTCCGAGATAGCTACATACTCGCTTCAGTGGTTGAGAGAGAGACCCTTCCTTGAAGTTTAGACTTCCAACCGATAGCTGTACCACCCAATGTAAAAATATAACCTGTTGTGCTCTTTCTACCGTCAAGATCACCTCCCAAGTCTCGCATCGGAAAACCCCTGTAAAATGAGATTACTTCTCTTGAAAGACAAATGCATCTTTGAAGTGCCTTTCAAATATCCGAATATCCACTTCACTCCTTCCCAATGCTCCTTTCCGGGATTTGATAGAAATCTGCTCACAACTCCCACTCGCATGTGCTATGTCCGGTCCGGTGCAAACCATAGCATACATCAAGCTTCCTACTGCAGATGCATATGACACTTTAGACATGTGACTTTCTTCTTCTTCTGTTTGAGAAGATTGCCTCTTTGAAAACTTTAAGTGAGTTCCCAAAGGTGTATTCCTGGTTTTAGCATTCCCAACATTGAATCTGCTAAGCAATTTTTCTATATATTTTTCTTGAGATAAGTTCAAAATACCTTTATCTCTATCTCGGGAGATTCTCATACCAAGAATTTGCTTGGCTGGACCAAGATCCTTCATTTCAAAGCTCTCCGACAATTGTTTCTTCAACTTGTCAATTTCGCCATATTAGCTCCAACAATCAACATGTCATCAACATATAAGGCAAGAATGATATAGCTATCAACATATTTCTTCACATAACAACGGTGATCTTCTTCACATCTGCGAAATCCCGAGTTTCTCATAAACTCATTAAACTTCTTGTACCATTGTCTCGGCGCTTGTTTTAATCCGTACAAACTTTTATGAAGCTTGCATACAAGATTTTCTCCGCTTTGTACTTCAAAACCTTTTGGTCGTGTCATAAAAATTTCCTCTTCAAGATCCCCATGTAAGAATGCAGCTTTGACATCTAATCGCTCCAAATGAAGATTTTCTCGTAGCTTACTATACTCAAGATAACTCGATGGTAGTCATCTTGACAACAGGAGAGAAAATTTCTGTGAAGTCAATTCCTTGTCTTTGTTGGAACCCTTTCACTACGAGTCTAGCCTTATATCTTTTGTCGCCATCCGGTTCTTCTTTCAACCTATAGACCCACCTGTTTTGCAAAACTTTCTTTCCTTCTGGTAGCTTGGTTAAAGACCATGTTTTATTCTTCCGAAGGGACTTTATCTCATCTTCCATTGCTAGCTCCCACTTAATAGATTCATCTCCCTGCATAGCCTCAAGCAAAATGCTCGGCTCACCAACGATCGATCAACAACAAATAATGCAATGAAGGGGAATACCTTTGTGGTGCTACAATTGTTCTGCTAGATCTTCTAACCAAGATTTCGGGAGTTGCTGACTCTACTATTTGTTCGGGTTCGTCTCGAGCTCGACATAGGCTCTACTTGTATATTCCGCCTTCGGTTGACTACATCACTTTCTGAAATTTCTTCTAATGATACTTGCTCTAGTCTGTTTATTTACATTTGCGGATTCTCGCAATCCTGTCTCTATAGAACATGTTTTCATTAAAAGTAACATTTCTACTTCGATAATTTTCTTGTTTTGGTCATCCCAAAACCCGTAGCCAAACATGTCGGATCCATAACCAATGAAATAACAACGTTTTGCCTTAGGGTCCAATTTATCTCTACTATTAGAGTCTAACATAACATATGAAGCACAACCAAAAACTTTCGGATGTGAAAGATTTACCTCTTTTCCAGACCATACTTCTTCGGGTAACTTATAGTCTAAAGGAACTGATGGTCCTCTGTTTATGAGATAGGCTCGTTGTGTTTATTGCATCTCGCCCAAAATACCTTGGGTAATCCTGACTGGATTCTCATACATCTTGCTCTCTCATTCAAGGTTCTCGTTCATTCTTTTCGCCACACCGTTTTGTTCCGGTGTTCCTGGAACTGTCTTGATCATTCTTATCCCATTCTCTCGAACAAAACTCCTTGAATTGACTACTGTCATATTCTCCACCATTATCGGACTTCAAACATTTGACCTTTAAACCTGTTTGAGTCTCAACCTCCTTTTTCCACCTTTTAAACACAGAAAACACATCGATTTATTTTTAAGAAAATAAACCCATACCTTTCTTGTAGAGTCATCAATGAAGGTTACATAATATTGTGAACCTCCAAGGGATTTCACTGAAGCCGGCCCCAAACATCCGTATGCACTAGTTCTAGTCTTTCAACTTTAGACGACTTACTTGTTTTTGAGAAACTAACCTTTTTCTCGCTTTCCAAAGATACAATGTTCGCAAGGTCCAACGTCAACATGCTTCACGTTAGGTATTTTACCTTTTGATATCATGAGCTTCATTCCTTTCTCACTCATATGCCCAAGCCTCCGATGCCATAAGGAGGAATTGTTGCCAACTTCTGCAACCGATATCATATCCTCATCTCGCAATCATGTGAGAGATCCTTGCTTCTTTCCACGAGCAACAACAAGATTACCTTTCATTACCTTCCAATGTCCATCTCCAAAAGTGGTGTAATGTCCCTCATCATCCAACCGCCCTATAGATATTAAGTTTCTCTTTAAGGTTGGAATATGTCCGACATTATTCAAAGTCCACACGTTTCCATTAGAGGTTCCGATGTTAATATCACCTCTTCCTATGATATCAAGAGATTTTCCATCTGCAAGGTAGACCTTCCCAAACTTTCCGAAACATAGTTAGATAATAGTTCTAAGGAAGGTGTAGTATGAAATGACGCACCTGAGTCCATAATCCATGAGTCAATAGAATTATCTAAACTACATAACGAGTGCATCTTCAACTTCATCGATTGCTTGCATTTGCTTGATTGATCATCATCTTGCTTCTTGTTGTTGTTGTTGTCCTTCTTTGGAGCCCTACACCGATTTGAAAAGTGGCCCTTTTCTCGACAATTCCAACAAGTGATATCATTCCGGACTTTTGCTTGTGATCTCCTCTCGGATTTTGATCTGCCTCGGCCTTGATTACGACCTTTACGCGACTTCTTCCTCTAGTTTCAGTACTTAATGCTGAACCCGAATTAGAACCGAAAGATTCTACTCGAATTTTTCCTGCGAACATCTTCGCTTAAGATCAAGTCACGGATGTTATCAAGCTTCAACTTGTTATTGCTTGCGGAATTACTTACTGCGATAATGAGTTGCACCCCAACTTTCCGGTAGAGATGATAATAAAATTAATGCTTTCACCTCATCATCAAATATTATCTCGCACTGATGTCAACTGCGCAATAATTGCATTAAATTCACTAATATGATTAGTAACCGAGTTACCTTCACCCATTTTGAGGTTGACTAGCTCGCGAATCAAATGCACTTTATTGGTCACAGAGGGCTTCTCATACATATTTGACAACGCATCGCATCAAATCTACGGTTGTCTTTTCGTTCATGATGTTGAACGCAACATTCTTGGCTAATGTCAGTCGGATCACACCAAGCGTCTGCCGATCTAACAACTCCCATTCCGATCGCTCCATGTCGGTTGGCTTCGCCTGTCAAGGGTAGATACAACTTCTTCCGATACGAGATAATCTTCCATCCGCATCTTCCGAACCCGAAGTCACCGCCATCGAACTTCTCGATCCTCACCTTTCCTTCTTCCAATGCCATTGCTCTCACCGCTTCGAAGAAAGCTCCCACTGCTTCTCTAAACCGAGATTCCCAAGAAAAAAGACCAAATCTTTCTCGATGTGGAAGATCGAGACAAAGCTGCAACCACGAGCATACTAAGAAAATTGGCTCTCGATACCAATTGTTAGGAACAAGACAATAATAAAGGAAAGAATGAAGGAGAGAAAAATAAACGACACAAGAATTTTAACGTGGTTCAGCTAAAATATGTATGCCTACGTCCACGACTACACTAGGAAGTAATTTTTATTTCTGTGTGTATCTCAAACTTTACATAGGGTTGCTTATATAACAAAATAGAGAACCTCATCTCACAATCCTAATCGATGTGGGACTAAATCAAGCACCATAATACTAACAGTTCTGTTCCTCTGGCTTATACCATGTTTGTTAGAATAACATTTTGACATTTTTTCATCGTAAAGGTGGAGATTGTGATGGGACTGGAGGAGGAATTTGGTATTAGTGTGGAAGAAGAAAGCGCGCAGAGCATTTCCACGGTTCAAGACGCAGCAGATATGATCGATGAACTTCTTGAAAGCAAGAGTGCTTAAACCACCAAAGATAATTTGGTGATGGGAAATCTTAATTTTATATTTTGTTTTTGGTATTTTCTGCTTCATTACTCTTCAACTATATGCTCCATCCTTTATAAACTTATGTAGGAAGGACTCTTGTAGAACTTGATGTCTCTTTCCTTTACTAATGAATCAAATCTTGAAATTAATCTTAGGATGCTCTCTATTTCAAAGCTGAATTTGAGTAATAAACTATGAAATTGTTGTAGTCAACCAGATTGTAGTCTATTTTGTTAAGAATGGCCCAAGAGTATTATTCTGATTATATGCATGAAATCATATTGTAAATACATACCGAACTGCGTTAAGAATCATTGAAAACAATATTTACCTGTAAATTTCATTTAATCATAACAGAAAAGAGAGACAAAAAAATTTACTTTAAAATATTAGATTTTGTAGGTATATTATTCAACTTTTTTCTCTTCTTTGTAAGGGTATTTCTTTTCTTTTAATAATATTGTATTCATTTTATCTTATCATTTCTTTTCTTTTCCTTTTCATTATTTAATTACTATTTCTTTCCAGGATTTGATCTTGTTCTGGGTCCTACTCAATACCTTGTTTCTGGTGGATAACATTCCCAACCTCCACAATCGTGGACCTAATTCATAATTTTTTATTATTTTCAAATTGGCATAAATTTTTTTTAATATATCTACAAAATTGAAGTTAGTTTTTGGCTATTGCGTTTGATTAATAAAAAATGGTTTTGATCTTTATAACAAGGAATGATGAATTGTTCAACCTATACAAATATGTTATTTTAATTTTTTTATAATAAAAGTTAACTGATATTAGGCCTAAGTTAGAAAATTAACCATATAAATATAACTGTAATCTACCAGAGATGAACATTTATTAATCATGAAAACATAATAATTTAGTGGGTAGAAAAAAATAATTTTTAACTGTCAGAGAGATATTATATTTTTAATGGGTCTTTGGTCTTTTTGTGGTAATTCGATCATATATACAATTTTAATTTAATCGGTTGCTAGGTATAGAGTTCACATTAAATGTTTTTTTTTTCTATAATTTCTAGAATTCTAATTGTGTCAAAAATTTTCTTTAAATACATGATAAATATGTAGCCACTGATTTTTTTAAACCATATTTAACTCTATTTATGTAAATTAAACTATATTATTAGTATAATTGAAAAAGATAAAAAATTATTTAAATGCATAAACAGAATACAAAACAAGAGAAAAAATACACCATAATTTAAAATTTAGTTTAATTTTTTTGGACAAAAAATTATTAATATAATAAATTTATTTATATAAACAATTTAAATTATATAATTAACCCAATTAATATGTAACCATTTCGTGTATTATTATTACACTTTAAAGATATTATTTTTACTTAATATTTATAATTATAGTTTAAATTAAATTAATAAAAAAACTTAATAATTGTTTTATTTAAAAGTTTAAACGAAGTGAATAATCAATCTTAATTATATATATATATATATATATATATATATATATATATATATATATATATATATATATATAAAGAATATAAGAAATGTTACCAACAGAACGATTTGTATTTTTTTATTAAAATATAAATGTTAAATATATTATTAATTTTGAAAATAATATGTTATTTATAAGTTTGTTTATTTTATACCAAATATTAAAATATAGATTGTCTTAAATACTTTATTATTTTAAAGATTAAAGAAACACTATATCTCATCCACTTCTCATGTTACCTAAAAGACTTAGGTGCGTAGTTTTATCTTTAAAACCGACATGAAATATTATATATATATATATTCTGTTGTGTAAAATATTTGATTTATTTGTATCCCATGTATTTCTTATTTTATTAATAAAATATCATACTTACTGTTATCTTGTGCCAAGTTTAATGACTTCACAATTTTTAGTATTATCATTTAATAAAAATTAACTTTAAAAAGACATTAAATGATTTACAGAATTTAATAATCATAATCTCTTTCTTTTGGAGGAAGATAATTTTTCTTATTTTTTGGTAAGAAAACCAGTGTAAATAATGGGAAATTATTAGACTATATTAGTAAAGTTTCATTTACTAAGATATCTATGTTTTATCAAATACAAATAATTGTGTTGAAATTTTAATTTATTTTTTATTGTTTTTTTTAAATAAATATATTATGAATTTTCTTTATTAAAAAATATCACATTATTTTTACAACATATTTAATATTAAAGTTTCTCCATTGATTTATTATTGAAAATTTTATTTTAAGATATTTGTTTAATATAAACGCGGCTAAACGGAAACCAAATTATGCAATATATATATATATATATATATATATATATATATATATATATATATTAAAATTAATTATAATATAAAAAATATATTATATAGAATTATTAAAATTATAAATACTACTATATAATAAATTAATTATATTTAACGATATTTTATATTATAAAAATTATTAATCATTAAATAATTTATATTATTGAATTTAAATTTAATAAATTTATTTTATCATTTTTTTATTGTTTTTTGAAAATTAAATTTATAAATTTTAAACCATATAAAACTTAACTTATTTTTTTATATTTTATATATTTTAATATAAGAATCGAATATCATAAAAATTAATACATGTAATTTATTCATATAAACTAATACACATATTAATATATTATGATAATTAACAAAAGTAATAATAATTAAATAAACCTCTTACTTTGATTATTTATTTTAATAAAAATATTTTGAAATATCTTATTTATATTTATAATATTTGTTAGGTTTCTAATAATACATGTATAAAAAAAAGTAAAAATAAATAAAAACGTGACATATGAAAAAAAAAACATTAAAATAAAAGAATAATAAAAAGAAAATGAAAGTAAAAATATACATGTTTAAGGTAAGAAAATGAAAATTAAAACATAAATAAATAAAAATATAAAACATGAGAGAATAACAAATTTATATAAAGAATTATGTAAAAAAAATAAAAATGATAGTTATTATAATTATTATTATTTATTAGACTTTTGTTTAGAGTTTGAGCCCTCGTCATGTACAGTTTTTCTAATAAAAAAAATATTCTTTATTAATATCCATTGAACTTAAAACTTATAAACTATTGTGAATATGAAATTTAAATGCATTTTATAACTAATTGGAATGAGAAATATATAAAAAGGTAACTAATCTTAATAGAAATTTTGGAATAATTTAAGAAAAAAAAATTTAAATTTAAAAAATAATTGAAATTTTAGAATTTTTATTTTTTTAATAATAATGTTGTGTTTTATAAGATATTTTGTAATTTTTAAAAAATTGAAATACACTTAAATTTAAATTTCTTTTATTTTAATTCACAACACTAAATTCTTATTCACGTAAATATTACATTAGTAAAAGGTGTTTAAGGATGTTTTTTTGAAAAATGACCTACCATATCCGTTCTAAATTTGTTATTAATTGAATTGTTGTTATATGTAAGAGATACAACAATGAGTTATGATCATCGTTGTATATTAAGATAAAACGACAATTACTTATCAATAACCATCATTATATGAAATATATCACAATAACTATTATAAATAATTGTCATTGTATCATGTGACAAGTTTGGTCATACTCATACTTGTCGATATGATATTAACTCTGTCATTATATCTTTATCTATTTATTTATTTTAAATAATAAACAATCTGTTTTATGACTCCATATCTATTACCTACATATTCAATCAACTCAATACAATAAAATGCATAATTTTAACCTTACATAACACATTTATAAATATATACAATAATTAATATTTTAATATTCATTTGATTAGAGTCCCACAAAGTCATTATAAACCTCTAGGTCAACCCAAGTTAACCCATTTAGGATCATTTTGTCTAGATAATGCTTATCCTAACCTAACTTAATTGCTATTGACCTAGTCCATCATGTATTAACTTGATCTAACTCATCTTAACTTAATCTAATACATCTCAGCTTTACTTGTTCTAGCTTAATCAAATTCTTATTAATCAGGTCTAACCTAACCCACCCCAATTTGATTTGTTTTAATTTATGCTACTTATTTAACCCCTTCTACTCAAGATATCTTATATGGTTTAACCTATTTTATTTTATATTGAAATATCTTGTTCAATTATGATTCAACTTAATTTGTATTAACCTAACTCAATTTAACATGGTTTAATTCATTCTAACTTTGATTGACACAACTTCAACATGCCCTAATTTATCCTAAATTGGTAAGTTTTATCCAATTTGACCCAAACTTTTTAACTTGATATAATTCATCTTAATCTTAAACAACTTTTTCAATCTTATATATCTTAATCTAATTTTACTTAATCCAATTTGTTATGTTACACCTAAGCTCAATCCTACCCATGTCCATAAATGTTAAATACTTTTAGCTACATTAAAGACATTTAATAATGATATTTTTTTATTTGATAGTAATTAAATCCTCTATCCAAATACAAAAACCATTACAAGTTAATAAATTTGAATTTATTTATCCAAACAAATCATTTGAAAGAATAAATAATTTCAAATAAAACAATTTTTTAATTAGTGACTTTCAACAATTATAAAGTTATTATTAAATGGTTGTAGAAAAAATGGGCATTGAAATAGCCTATTTCCTTATTTTTGCAAAATCTTGTCTTTTGTATAAATAAAAATAAAATTTATAAAAAAAATTATTCCAAATCTTTGGATGAAATAAGGACAAGTGACTTGAGAGAAGAGCTTGATGCGAATAAACAAGAAATATATATGAAATAGAAATATGTTATACTATAATTCAAATTAAATATCATCTTATCAATGTTTGTGGAATGTCATTGTGCTTTTAGGTGTGAAAATATGATTAATATAATATATTTTGGTAAAGTTAGATCGATTAATAATTAAAAGAAAATTATATATTTTTTATGTTATATATATATATATATATATATATTATTTTTTACACATAATATCTTATTATATTTTATCTAATTATGCACCAATACCACCTTTATGCTTAAAAAATATTTATTGTTTTTGAAGTGATTATTATTCACAGATTCATATAAATAGACAGAAAAAATGGTTATTCATACATCTTTAGCCATAACTTTTTTTTTTTTTATAAATTTGTGCAATATTTATTTTCAATATATTGAATAAATTTATCAACATTTAAACATATTTTTACAACGCGATATAAATTATTTATATAAATTAAAATATAATTCATGTTTTTTATTTAATATGAATTTATGAAACTCAGAGAGCACACGGAACTGGCCTCTGCACTCGTGTGACATATAAGGTCGCGTTTGGAGCTCTTATTCTCACTGTTTCTCAAAAGAGGGGGTTTCGTCTTCATAGGCAGCGTGAGAGGTAAGACCAGATTTTACGACTTCTCTGTGAGACTCTCTCTCTGTGCGAGCGTGCGTATGTGTCTATGTAGGTAGCTGAACCTCGCTTCATTTTCGGAGTTTCCGAGCCTCAGGTAATCCTCTCCGATTCTCAACTCATGCCTCTTTCCAATTGAATCTCTCTCACGCCGTTACGCAATTTCGAAATTCGACATACTTTTTTCTTGTCGGGAAATTCCGTTGCGTCTTGCTTAGATTCGCCGATTGAGAACCCTGCCGTATAGGGTGCAGCCTGCATTTGAAGGTTTTAGGGGATTTTCATTGTTTCGGTCTCGACTATGGGTGTTTTAGTTCATTTTTCTTGAATTTCGTAACTAGGCGTTTTGTTTTGGGATGTGAAAGGATAATGGGAGTTATTCTGTATTGTGATGGGTTTGGGGATGAATGAATATGCAGCGTTTGGTTTTGAAGGCTTTAAGGTAGGTTATAGGGAAGAAGGCAGCGAGTTGTGAGCTGTTCGTTTCATTTTTATTGGATATGTTCCTTCGTATGGCTATGTCTATTTTGATTTTTTTCTCTGATAATAAAACAGTGGCCCATTGTTTCATGTATTCGCCTAGTTAATGTTTTTGCATTTTATTTTTGGGAGGTTGACATAAAATATTGCCTTCTGTATTTGTGTGAGTGGTATTGACTCTGGAATTCTTTTATGTCTTTGTCTTGAGTTTAGTCACTCAACAACAAAGTCCTTTTGCCCACCACGTGAAGTTTGCAATCTGATAACACGATACCCTTTGGCTTGGTTAAAGCTAGATTTTCAGAGATACTTGATCCCTCTTAACAACCCCCCCAAATGTCCTTCTTGTTGTAAATTTATCATGGTTAATTTTTTATTCCCATTTTTAGCTTAAAATGATAGGTTGGCTATCCTGAAATCTCCAGCACGTCTAAGTTTATCTTGACATCATTTTGGTTGTGCAGTTCAGATGAGATGGCCTCATCACAGAATGTGGAGATGGAGGCTGCAAAGTTTCTGCATAAACTTATTCAAGATTCTAAAGATGAGCCAGCAAAGCTGGCTACTAAACTCTACGTGGTGCGTGTTGTTTTCCCTTAATGATAAAAAACCTTCTACTTTAACTGCTTAAAAGACTAGGTATGCTTGTGATTAATTTGATGAATGTCTCAGATACTACAACACATGAAATCAAGTGGGAAGGAACACTCAATGCCATATCAAGTGATATCAAGGTAAAATGCCCACTACTCAGCACCCTAACTCCTCCACATGCAGTTATTTAATTGTTTTTGTTCATACCTAGTCTTTTTAAGTGACCTTAGATAACAAAATTGAATATGTTCTGATTGTTTTATTGGGACACATGGTTACATTTTTATTCTTCCTATCATGGTAGTTAAGATGTTAGAAATATTTTTTTGTCTCTATACTTTCGGTCAAACCTGGTTATGGTTCATGACAAATTTTCCCTCAAGATGAAGATGAAATAATCATGGGAATGATTTGTTGAATTGCATCATATATGTTAAAAATAAATGTGACTTTTGTTTTTACTTTGTATTTTTGTTCCAAAAAGAAATGAGATTGGTTATATATATTTACTTTGTGTAATTTGGCTTGGGTAATATATGTTTGAAACTGATGGCTAGTTCCCATGTGAATACCTTTATTTGATTGCTTTTTGCAAATAGATAATAGACATAATTCTCAAGGTTGTTACATGGCTCATCTTTTGGCCTCAATTTTCTTGTTGTGCTTTGTTGATTATAATTAAACTAATACTTGCCATTCTTAACCTTTGTTTGTTAGTGTTGGGAATTTGACCCAATATTTTCATGCTCAATGCTGTTTCTTCTGACTTAATGTTGTCTGTAATAAGGGCAATGGAGACTGTCATCAATCAACATGGTCTTGATATTGAAGCATTGAAATCATCTCGTCTTCCGTTGACTGGTGGTCCTCAAATTGGTAATTAACAGCGCATGAATTCCTATTGCAGAAGGGTGTTTGTGATGATTTTTGTGTGATTTTGATTTCAATGTTTGATATTTTTTGCAGGATCGTCGTCACAGCCAGTGAATGTTACAAAAGACTCTAGAACAAGCCTTGTGGAAAATGAAGTGTCCAAAATGGATCCTTATGCTTCTGGTCGGCCACCAGTTGCCCCAAGTGGTGGAGCACCTGATTATTATCAAGGATCTGTGGCTCAGAGGAGTAGCCAGTCTTTTGATCAAGGAAGTCCATCTAGTTTGGATTCTAGGTCTGCTAACTCACAGTCACAAGACAGACGTGATACTGCTAACTGGGACAAACAGGTGAATCAAAAGGATGGTAAGAAAGCTACGGCAAAGAGAAAGAGGGGAGATACATCATCACCTGTGGAACTGCATGTTGACAGTCCTCAGCTGGATCCTCGCAATACTGGTGTTAATGCAAGGAAGGGGAAAATGACCAAGGCTGAGTCGTCAGATGGTCTCCCAGTTAAAAGCGGTGAACTAACAAACTTTAACATGGCTCCAAATAGTTGTCAAATGGAGAATGTCTCAACATTGCCTGGTAGCATGAGAACAATGCTTAGAGCAAACCAAGAAGGTCATCATTTATTGGCGAAGCAAACTGATTTGACAAAGATTGGCAATCCGATGGTCCGAACACCTAATTCAAAGTATGCTGAAGACTCGGAAGTCTCCTCTGCACATATTGCTTCAGGAAAGCAGCAAGGTACTTCCTTAACTACAACAAAATGAGATTGGACGTGTGATTAACATAAAGATGGATTGTCTCCTTTTAAAAAGTCTTAGGTTCCACTTCTTCTAGTGTTTGTTCCTGCTAATACAATGATAGAAAGTCCAATGCAGCAGTTAACACTTCCATCCCTTGGCTCAAGTAAGGGATTTGGAGAAATTTTAGCCCTAAGTCATTATATAACTGGATAAAACTCTGCTTGTGGGATTAAGAACTACAAAATTTTGGAATATATATAATACTTAAATGTCAATGCCTAATATTTGAGTGGTCAGTGGTGATGTTTGACACAAGGCTTTCTAGAAGAGCTTATGTGCATATAATCAATGGAATGGAAGAAATTATATTTGTAGAGGTTTTTCTTTAATACTAGTTCTTATATCAGTGCTGTTTCTAAAATATTTGAGTATTCTCTGCTGTTGGATCATCATCAGGATTGGGTCATTATGAAGAGAATGACTGAGGAAATATCAATTTTACTTGGAATTTATATTTAATAGAAGAAAATACAAACTATAATTTTGAATTTCTTTCCCACAGTTACTGATAGAAGACAATTTATATTGATTTCAGGTGCTTATGCAAAAATTCATGGAGGGATGGCAATTCCAGCTGGTGCATCAATGGCTGAAGCTTTCTCAAATTCAATGCAATATGGTGGTGCAGTTGAGCGTGATGGGGGTAGTTCTACTAATTTAGCTGATGGACATAAAATTTCTCAGGTACTTGCTATATACTAATCTTTGTCTCTGGGTTTGTCTCTGGGTTTGTCTCTAAGCTGTATTACCGTGTCCCCCCCAGCCCTCTAGCTATGGTCATCTATCTTTAAAAGTTATCCTGCTTCTTTTATTCTCTTTTGAATATGTTACTGTATATAGTCAACTTGATTACTTGACCAGATAATTTCATTGACAGGTTGGCAGGCAAAATAGTGGCTCAGAAATGACTATGCTTAGACAAGGTGTTCCTCCAAGAGACACGGGAAAATCCACTGCTCCTGCCATGCCTTTCAAAGAACAACAGTTAAAACAGCTTCGTGCTCAGTGTCTTGTTTTTCTAGCATTTAGGTAGGCACTTTGGCTAGCATCTATTGGATTTGAAAAATGGACTTGAAATATATTTTTTATGTGAAACTTTGTTGTTAAATGTTTAGGAATGGTCTAGCACCAAAGAAACTGCATCTTGAAATTGCACTTGGAACGGCCTTTTCTAGAGAAGGTGACCGAAGTTTATATTTCACACATTGACTTTTTCATTGACTAACAAGTGATGGTAAAACAGATGGTTCTCGCAAAGATTTATTTGACCACAAAGGAAAATCACAATCTTTTAATGGTTCAGGTAATGCATCTGGGGTCGGGATGCCGTTTGGTGGCCCAAGCAATGTGAGACAGACAGATAAAAACCCTTCAGGTTCCTCTTCAGCAGGAAAAATTGTTGAGGCTGACTCTTTGTCAAAGGGAACTGAGAGCCCAAGAACAATGGAGGACAAAGGTAATCTACATGTCATGAAAAGAGGAGAGGTTGAAAGACGGATTCAAGAAAGAGTGACTGCACAAGCCTCTTCAGTCACTTCATGTCAGCAGCAAGATTCTTCAAGTACAAGGGGAGCGGCAGTTGGTAATAATCATTTGGATGATGTTGACACTGGTAATATGCAGGTAGGAAGATCTAACCAATCTTCTGTTGTTGGCCCAAACAGCTGGGCTGGTTTTGCTGGTGCTAACGAGGCTTCAAAGGGACCTCCACAGATCTCTACTATTCAACATGAGTTGCCTATAGAAAGAAGAGAGAATATTCCTAGTCAGTTTCAAAATGTTAGTAACAATAGTGGTTCACGGAATCACAATTTGTCTTCTTTTTCTTTAAAAGAGCAATGGAAATCAGTTCTGGGGACCGACAGTGATCCCCATGGAGTAACCATGATGAAGGATGGAAATGTGATGATAAAACATGTTTCTCCAGGTGTAAACCATACTCAACAAAACCATGTTATTGCAGTCAGTTTTTTCCCAGCTTATGTTTTCTGCATTATTTGAAGTGTCAATAATTGATGGCTTTTTAAATATTGAATGTATTACTTTCAGATGGCTTCAAAACAGTTTCAGTTGATAATGCATCAAAGCATGGCATCCCTTTTGCTACGGAGCTGGATGGGAATGAGAGGTTGGCATCAGGGGATTTGCCATCTTCTCCAAAATATACAATGTCAGAGAGATGGGTCATGGATCAGCAGAAAAAGAGGCTTCTAGTTGAGCAAAATTGGGTGCAAAAACAGCAGAAAACCAAGCAAAGAATGGCTACTAGTTTTCATAAGTTAAAGGTTCGTTTTACTTTTAATGGCCACTTTTTCTGGGTTAGTGCTTACTATGTTCTCCTTGAACTTTTAAATACTATTTGCTCTATAAACATACAAAATGTATTATATATAATGATTTCATTCCATGTATTGTAGGAAAATGTGAGCTCTTCTGAAGATATTTCTGCTAAAACCAAAAGTGTCATAGAGTTGAAAAAACTTCAACTACTAGAGCTCCAACGTCGTCTCCGAAGGTAATTTGTGGCTTGTGTGAATAAAGTTGTTATTTTCTTCAATTATCTGATTGACAGTACATTCTCCTTTGTGGTCCAGTGATTTTCTGAATGATTTTTTCAAACCGATTACAACTGAGATGGATCATTTAAAATCAATTAAGAAGCATAGACATGGTAGAAGGTTCAGACAACTTGAAAGGTATGAGCAGAAAATGAAGGAAGAGCGTCAGAAACGTATTCGTGAGAGGCAGAAGGAGTTTTTCAGTGAGATAGAGGTTCACAAGTATGTGCTCTTTCTCTCCATTTCTAATTATTGACTTTTTTATCTATTTAATTTTCCAATGCATCGTGGTAGATGATTATAAATCAATGCTCTCCTACTCTGTTCCTCATTATTACTTGAAATCTAGGGAAAAACTTGATGATGTATTCAAAATCAAGAGGGAACGGTGGAAGGGTTTCAATAGATATGTGAAGGAGTTCCATAAAAGAAAAGAACGTATTCATCGTGAGAAGATTGATAGAATCCAGCGGGAAAAGATTAATTTACTGAAAATAAATGATGTGGAGGGATATCTTCGTATGGTGCAGGTTTGTTTATTTTCTTATTATGATACAAATGGATACAGGGCTTATATGTTTAATGCTTGATGCCATTTTGAATGGTAATTAGGATGCAAAATCAGATCGTGTAAAGCAACTACTTAAAGAGACTGAGAAGTATCTCCAAAAGCTTGGGTCCAAGCTACAGGAAGCAAAGGCTGCAGCTGGACGTTTTGGACAGGAGGTTGATGATACAGGTCATGTCAGTTTTCTTGAGAATAGTGAAACAGAAAATGAAGATGAAAGTGATCAGGCAAAGGCAAGTTTGTCATACCATCTCTTTCTTAGGTTTAAAGCTAGATTGTCAAATATGAGACTTATGTTTTCCAATTCTTTTTTACAGCATTATATGGAAAGCAATGAGAAGTATTATAAGATGGCTCACAGGTATTCTTTCTGTGCTTATGTAATATATTTTAGAAAAAGGTTTCTTGGTGCTGTAAGTTGCTTACCTTATACATTTTCTATTAATGAAAGGATAAACGGCATATGAGACTGGGAATTTACTGGTTTACTTTTAGTATCAAAAGTGTTCATGGTGCATTGGTTCCATTAATCGCTAAATAGGTGTTTGTTAAATTTTTACTGTGTTGAGTAATCCTTATGCTTCATTCTAAGGATTTTCACTCCCCCTGCAGTATAAAGGAGAGCATTGCTGAACAGCCATCTAGTTTGCAAGGGGGGAAATTGAGGGAGTAAGTTAAATATTTGCCTTTTTATGATGGATGCTATTTTGTTGATACATATGCTTAAGTCTTGCAACGGAGATCCAAATTTTTTTGTTGTATCTTTTAGTCTGTAGTTATTTTTCTTTTCATTTACATAATTCTGCATATGCTCTGTCTCAGTAGGGATTTATTCTTTTCACTTCTCATTCTTTTTGTTTGTTTTCTTAAATCTTGTTTGACAAGCAAGAGCTTTGGACTTCCATTATCTTTTTTTTTTTTAATTAATTTTTTTAATTTTTATATATAAGGTATAGTATTCTTTCTGATTGCACTTTTTGTCATTAGATATCAAATGAATGGCCTGAGGTGGCTGGTTTCCCTTTACAACAATCATTTGAATGGAATTCTTGCTGATGAAATGGGATTGGGTAAAACAGTACAGGTACAATTTTGGTGAACGGAGGAATGTTGTACACTCAATTAGAATTTTTTGTATCTATAAAATTGTAATGTCCATTTTTACAGGTTATTTCTTTAATTTGCTATCTGATGGAAACGAAAAATGATAGAGGACCATTTCTGGTGGTTGTGCCCTCTTCAGTGCTACCTGGTTGGGACTCAGAAATAAACTTCTGGGCTCCTGGTGTTCATAAAATTGTCTATGCTGGACCGCCAGAGGAGAGGCGTCGATTATTCAAGTAACTGAACTTTAGGATATTAACTCCCTTAATCTGTTTTATGCTTATTCCTTGATGTGTGTCTTATTAGTTCTTTCATATTTTAGGGAAAGGATTGTTCACCAGAAATTCAATGTTCTTTTGACTACATATGAATATTTGATGAATAAGCATGATAGACCAAAGCTTAGCAAAATACATTGGCATTATATAATAATTGATGAAGGCCACCGCATAAAGAATGCTTCTTGCAAGTTGAATGCTGACTTGAAACACTACCAGAGCTCTCACAGATTGCTGTTAACTGGAACACCATTGCAGGTTTTTTCCCCTTTTCCCTTTAGCTTTAAAATAAAATAAATAATATATATGCATGTATGTATGTAAAGGTGCTGCTCACCCGTTATTGGAGGGTCTTGATATGTTCTTTATTTCACTTTTGCCATTAAATGTTATATGAATGTTGGTTTCTTTATTGTAATATTTATATGCAGAACAATCTTGAAGAACTGTGGGCACTACTTAATTTCTTGTTACCAAACATATTCAATTCTTCGGAGGACTTTTCTCAATGGTTTAACAAGCCATTTGAGAGTGCCGGGGATAGCTCACCTGATGAAGTAAGTTTTGGATTCTCTCTCTCTTTCTCTCTTTATATATATATACACACACACACACACACACATACATACATACATACATGTGTGTGTCTATATATATATGTATACATAGACATTATATTTACATATTCTTGATTTCAATTTAAGCCTCATTGACTTTTATGTGCTAATTGTGATGCTTTCTCTTTACAAATATTAATAGGCACTATTGTCGGAGGAGGAGAATCTCTTGATCATAAATCGTCTGCACCAAGTTTTGAGACCATTTGTACTCAGGAGATTGAAACACAAGGTTTTTAATACTCAACTTAAGCTTATTAAGTGTAGTCCCTACATCTCCTTGAGTTTCTGTAGTCCATGATCCGTGTTTACTCTTTATCATTAGACTTACGTGGCTTATGATATCTGTTTTGACTCTTATAATCAATATTTCCTTCTTAGTAGTTTGTCATTATGGGCACACCTATATATCCATATGATATTATCAAAGTATATGCCCCTTCATTCATACATTCATAATGCTTTTTGTTGTTGTTCTCTTAATTTCTTTGTTTTTTTTTTCATGGTTACTTCATGCGTTATAACTTTTTACTGATAACTGCTCTTACATTGTAAAATATGGAGTTAATGTGACAACAAACAACTATAAAAAACTAGTTTCTTGAAGCTACTAGAATTTTGATGAATATCTGGTGTAATATAGAAGTGTTGTTGTATGGATAATATGTTCTGCATTATTCAAGCCATCTGACACACTTCCTTTTATATGACCAAAATCTTTTATTCTCTTTTTTTTAATCAATTTTGATGATTTGAAATATGATTTTTGTCAGCTGCAATTTAGCATGTTTACTTTGAAAAAAATGTTTTCGTTTATCATTTCTTTGATTTTCTTTTAACTTAAAAAAATTATATTATTTTTTCATTGTGGCTCCTGATTTTGGAGATTTGTTATGATTTTTTTTTTTAAATTTTAAATGAGAAGACATTTTCTTGAAACCAAATAGTAACTTATCTTGTCTGCCTTGAAGATTATGTATTAGCTTCTGAAATCATCATTCTACTGTTCTTGTCTTTTTGATTTATTTTAGGTTGAAAACGAGCTGCCTGAGAAGATCGAGAGATTAATAAGATGTGAGGCTTCTTCGTATCAAAAACTTTTGATGAAGAGGGTGGAAGAAAATCTTGGTTCTATTGGCTCTTCAAAGGTATCTTTTTTAGAACTTTATCTTTTGTTGGATAAAGTGTTTTTGATCTTTTTTGATACTTGATTAAGGATTATTTCCCTCTGATTTTGTTTTAGATTAATTAGCTTCCCAGCATAGAAAACATATGTGTACTTTCTCTGATGGTCTAATTGATATTTATAATTTTTAGGCTCGATCAGTGCACAACTCTGTCATGGAGCTTCGAAATATATGCAATCATCCCTATCTCAGCCAGCTTCATGCAGAGGAGGTATATTCCTGTCTTATGAATGTTTTTTAGTTTTTGTCAGCTTCATGCAGAGGAGATCTATTCATATCTCATCCAGCTTCAGTCAGAAAGTAATAACATTCTTTGCAGCGGCTATAACTTGTACTTCCAAAATGGCTGTGTTTTCCTTCTGAAGTAGTCAATTTTGTTTATCTGACTACTTCAGCAGACAGTAAAGTACTATGTGATTATGAATTGGCTGTTGTACTTTACTTTTTGGTATGCTACAGTATGACTCTTTGCTGTTTGTAGGTAGATAACTTCATACCTAAACATTATCTGCCACCAATTATTCGACTCTGTGGGAAGCTTGAGATGTTGGACCGTTTATTGCCTAAATTGAAGGCAACAGATCATCGGGTATGAAGTATCCTATATAATTGTTGCCTAATTACTACATTTGACTTATTTCATGTCAGTATTTTCTTGAGTTGTTATAACCTGAAGATATTTTGTAAATTATTTACCATGCTTGCATTTGTTTGATTAAGATCTACTAGCTGCTTTGGATTTGGAATGTGTTTGATAGTTCATTCTCCCTTTGCCAAATCTATGAAACCAAACTGACCATTGTAATGATAACCTTCTTTTTAATGGTTTATTTTGGAAATTTAAATTTTAGAGTCTGATATCACACTATCGATGCCTTTCAGGTTCTTTTCTTTTCGACAATGACTAGGCTTCTGGATGTTATGGAGGAATACTTAACCTTAAAACAGTATCGGTACCTCCGGTTGGATGGACATACATCAGGAGGTGATCGAGGTGCTCTGATTGAACTATTTAACCAACCTGAATCCCCATATTTTATTTTTTTGCTCAGGTAACTTTAATGTCTACTATAGCACTAGATTAGCTAAAACATTGAGTTGGGGGAGGGTGGTTTTCAGGAAATTTAGTTGAATGCTTCCTATTGACATCTATATATAGACCTTTGTTCAAACCTTAGTCTTTATTTTATTATTGGAATTACATAATGAATTATAGGGTCTTGTTGGCTTGAGAAGATGTTTTCTTTTCTAATTTCCTGTTTTCATTTTCTGAAAACAGTCTCCATTCCAAATTTTCATGTTGTAGAGAATGTTTGTTTTTGTTCATGATATGGATTTGGGCGCCATGGGTTGCCAAAGTTCCACATCGTGTAGTATGACATGTTTAATGAAGTATTCAAGTGCTTGGTTCTAATCCCTTAACAACTAGCTTTCAAGGTTCGATTCTTCCCATGCTTCGTTGCTTATCAATTGGTACCAGAAATGGTTGTTATTGTCTCAAAAATGGCTACCTATGGAGGGTTCTGACCTACATGAAAGTTGAGTGAAGTGTTCAAGTGTGAGCCATTGAGAAGTTGGCTTTCAGAGCCGGTACTATTATATGAACTTAGCATGAAATGGTTCACCTCCCTTAATAACTAGCTTTTATGTGTGGGTTCTCCAAATGCTTGGGTATCAGCTCTCACCACCATCTCAGCAGTTGAACCCCACCCATCACCGATAACTGTAGCAGCTGATTTTTGTTGCCAAATCAGAACCATCACTGTCCTGTTGTTGTCTTCTGCTTAGAACCACAACCTCAACCGTTGTTGCACCGTTCATCATCCAATTTGTCAAAAAGCACACAAAACCACAAAAACCAATGACATGCCACACAGGTAAAAACATCAATGCACATCCCCTACATCAAGCTATTAAAAACATTGACACAACTGTGCCACTACCAGTCCTTGTTGAAACTGTTAAGGTTCCAACATAAAACCAATTGACAATATGGGAAGTAACCTAACAACATGCCCCCTCCAACGAAGCTTGTCGGACCAGACAAAGGGTACTTTTGACCCAACTAAAGGACAACTTTTGATCCATGACAATAACCGGAAAGATGTTAGGCTTTGGCTCTGATACCATGTGAAGGTTCCAACATAAAACCAATTGACAATATGTGGAGTAACCTAACATGTATTTAAACCATACCAAATGACATGAGGTAGGTGATGTGAGACTTTCAACACGCCCCCTCCAACGAAGCCTACCGGACCAGGCAAAGGGTACTTTTGACCCAACTAAAGGGCAATTTTTGGCCCATGACAATAACCGGAAAGATGTTAGGCTTTGACTCTGATACCATGTTAAGGTTTCAACATAAAACCAATTAGCAATATGTGGAGTAGCCTAATATATATTTAAACCATACCAAATCATTTCTCCAATAGCAAAGACTTCATCCACCCACAGTTCCAATTACCTTGCCTTGCTAAACAGAACCCATGAATCATTGTGTGCCGCTGTGAGTAAACTTCCAACACCCTGATCATTCCTCACCACCATTCATAGAGGCCTATCTCCACCTGATCGATCACCAGAATGCATGGCCATATTTCTTTTGTCATAGGCATGATACCATCAAGATAACTTTCCGCACTGTATAATTTTCAAACTTAAAGACACTGAATCACTTTAGTATATAAGTGTTCTTCACCATACCTCCCTCAAAAATGATCTGCTAGACAATCGAATCATACTTTCCTAGCATTAAGATCAATTCAATGATGATGAATTCAATCTTTTTATTGAAATCACGTTAAAAAGAGTGATGCAAGTAATCTTGTCTAGAAAGAAACATAATATTGTCTTGACATATGACTATATGATTTTGACTATTTACATGAAGCTGACCAGCTTAAAATTCATACAATTAGAATTGAAGAAAACAAGAAACACCAACAACTATGTGAGCATTGCCTTTCAAATTTTGAAATCTGGTTATTGTTGAGTTGCACCTTTGGCCAAAAAGGAATACTTAGTGATTTTCAGTTAACAAGTTCCTTGGTGATGAACAGTTGATAGGTAGTAACTAAATTGATGTTATGATTATTGCTAGTTTGTTCCTGCACAGTAACGTTTATTTTCAAAAAAAAATTGTTTATTGTTGGAATGCTGTCTTAATTGTGGCCACTGTGATAGTGGTCTCTTAAGAGGCTGGCTTGAGGGGGTTGAAAATAGTGCCCTGGCGGAGTGGACTGCGGCTGCAATTAGGGCCTCTGTAGCGGTGCTGTCCAGAGTTGTGGAATAGCGGCACTTTTATTTTTTTCCCTTTTCTGGAAATGTGCACCTGTCCTCCTTTGACACTTCTCCCTCATTTATCTCTCTAATATATCTCTTCCGGCCACCTCTGGTGGTTTGTTTGTGGCCATTTTGGTGGCAAGTGACCATTCTGCAGTTGCTTAGCCTTGTCAAGGGCTGCAAATGGCTCAAGTCTGTGAGGAGGTAGCGGCTCAACAGCTGATGCAAGAAAGGGGCCAGGGTTTTTTCAGTCTCTAAAGTCAGGTGTATGATGTTGGGCCTGGGTACAAATTAGACTCTTCTATAACCAAAACAATCCAACAATTTGGGAAGGGATTCTTTTGCTACTTTTTTATAGTATTATATGCTTTTGTAAAAATATAAGAAACTCTGTAATATGAAAACTATAGACAAAGATTAATACATATTATAAATTATATAATTGTATTATATAATAGAGATAAATATGCAGCCCATAATAATAAGTATATACAAAAAATATAATCATTATATAGAATTAATATAATTGTAACGATTATCAGAATTAGAACAACAAAATATAAATAAAAATATTATTAAGAAGCAATTGAATTATAATAATAATAATAATAATAATAATAATAATAATAAACAATATATTATATATATATATATATATATATATATATATAATAGAAAAGATAAAAAAATAGTGGTCATCCCACTCTCCTGGAATAGCATTTTTGGGGTTGGCTGCCTCGCATTACTTCAGGTTTTCAGACATTGGGTTTAGACCCACATTGGCTAGAAATATGCCTTATTTTGATTGCACTTGTACATATTTCTTGATGACAGCTATTTCAGTGCTGAAAGTTGGAAATAGTTGAACTGAAATTATCATTTGTCTTCTTCCGATTGAAACCTTGTGCAAAACTGGATATAAGTTGTAAATATTATTGTTTTGTAATTTTGAAGGGTGTTGGTTTTCAAACTTGTTTGAAAATGCTTCCCCCATATTGTTTTTCATGTTTTTTAGATGTAATATTATAGAACCTATCGAATCAGCATGTTGTATAGTTGATAATCATTAACTTGTATTATCTTTTATATTGCTTAAATTCATCTATTGTCAAAAAAAAGCATTCGAGCTGGTGGTGTTGGTGTGAATCTTCAAGCTGCTGACACAGTGATCTTATTTGACACTGACTGGAATCCACAGGCAATAAAATTTCTTTCATATGATTTTTTTAAATAAAGGTGTTTTCTTTTGTGACTAATTATTCTGATATCTTAATTTGTTTGTATAATTTCAGGTTGATCTTCAAGCTCAAGCAAGGGCTCATCGAATTGGTCAAAAGAGGGATGTTCTTGTTCTTCGGTTTGAAACAGTTAATGCTTTTCCCTTTGAATTATTATTTGTCATTGGTGGGTTTTTTTGTTGATACTTGTAATATTGCGTATATGCTAAGCTACAGGATATCTGGTCCCTATCATCCGAAGTTAATTTTAAAACAATTTTGCATAGTATAGTTGTGCTCTTTACACTACAGTGAGAACAAAGAATTATATCGATATTCAAATCTAATGTCTTGTAAAATGCATCCTCTGTTCTTGTTGCTTGCTCATAAAATGTGCTTTGTACTGTCTTAGGCCATATATAAATTCAAGATTTTGGTCATATGTCAAATTGTTTAATTAATACTTGATTTTAGGATTATCTTTTCCCTGTGGAATAGTTTAGTGCTGATATGGACTTTGCGATGCATGTATCATTTGATAGGGATAGCTTTAGAGGTGTACACAGTCTAATTTGTACTGTTGTATGCGTTATGGATTCTTAGCCGTTAAATTCCATTATTATTTTTTTATTAAAAACATTTATATTATCTTTGAAAGCATGGGGAATTATATATGTCGTTGTCATGATATTTATATTTGTTGAATATAGGGAAAAACTGTATAGGGTTAATTTCCCTTATGTATTTACCACACATAGGGCAGTGTATTTATAATAAAGAAAGGTACTCTTCAAAAGAGTAACAGAATACAAATAGAGTAAATAAAAAGATATTATTTGATATTGTGATTAACAATATCTAACAATATCTCAACAATATCAAACAATATCAACTAATATCTAATCATATCTAACACTCCCCCTCAAGCTGGAGCATACAAATCGTATGTGCCAAGCTTGGTACAAAGATAATCCATCCTAGGTCCCAGTAAAGACTTAGTGAAAATATCTGCTAATTGATCACATGAGTTAACGAACTCGGTCTTGATGTCTCCGGACATAATCTTTTCCCGAATAAAATGGCAGTCAATCTCAATGTGTTTAGTCCTCTCATGAAAGACAGGATTAGAGCTTATATGGAGAGCGGCTGATTGTCACACACTAGTGTCATTTGAGTGACATCTCCAAATTGTAGCTCTTTAAGCAATTGCTTGAGCCAAATAAGTTCACGAGTAGCCGAGGCCATAGCTCTATACTCGCTTACGCACTTGGATCTTGCCACAACACTTTGTTTCTTACTTTTCCATGAGATTAAGTTACCACCAATGGAAACACAATACCCAGATGTAGATCTTCTATCGAGAGGAGATCCTGCCCAATCGACATCCGAATAGCGAGACAACTCTTGTATGATTATGGGAGTCATACACCAATCCTTTTCCAGGAGACTTTTTGATGTACTTCAATATACGGATGACTGCATTCCAATGATCTTGACAAGGAGAATTGAGGAATTGACTCACCACACCGACTGCAAAGGAAATGTCAGGGCGAGTAACTGTAAGATAATTTAATTTTCCAACTAATCTTCTATACTGTTCAGGATCTGACATTGGCTCCCCCTGATTTGGCAAGAGTTTGGTATTAGGATCCATGGGTGTGTCAACAGGCTTTGAATTCATCAACCCAGTTTCCTCCAAAATATCCAATGCATACTTTCTTTGAGATATAACAATGCCATCGGTAGATTGTGCTACCTCAATACCCAAGAAATATCTGAGTTTGCCAAGATCTTTGGTTTGAAAATGGTGGCAAATGTGTTGTTTCATCTGAGAGATGCCATGATGGTCACTATCTGTAAGAACAATGTCATCGACATACACTATCAAATAGATACATCCAGCATTCGAGTGACGGTAAAAGACTGAGTGGTCTGCCTCACTTCTAGTCATGCCAAATTGTTGAACAACGCTGCTAAATTTTCCAAACCAGGCCCTAGGAGACTGTTTTAGGCCATATAAAGATTTGCGAAGACGACATACCAATCCAAAAGACTCCCCCTGAGCAACAAATCCGGGAGGTTGCTCCATATAAATCTCTTCTTGCAAATCGCCATTCAAGAAAGCATTTTTGACATCCAGTTGATAAAGAGGCCATTGTTGAATAGCAGCCATGGCAATGAATAAACGAACAAAAGCCATCTTTGCCACTGGAGAGAAAGTATCACCATAATCCAACCCAAAAATTTGGGTATAGCCTTTGGCTACAAGGCGAGCTTTGAGGCGATCAATAGTACCATCAGGACCAACCTTGATAGCGAAGACCCACCTGCAACCAACAACAGATTTTCCGAGATGGTAATGGGACAAGCGTCCGGGTTCCACTAGTCCGAAGAGCACCGAGTTCATCTAGCATGGCCTCGACGCCAACCGGGGTGGGCTAAGGCTTCGGAGACAGATTTAGGAATAGACACAGAAGAAATAGACGAGAGACAGGTATAAAATGGTGAAGAAATTCGATGATAACTTAAAGTAGTATAATGTGGAGAAGGATTACGAGTAGAACGCGTACCTTTATGAAGGGCAATAGGAAGGTCAAACTCTGTGGACGGAACCGGAGGAGGCAGAGTATTTGGCACTGGGAGTGAGTCATGTGGCGTCTGTTGTGGGCGAGGTCTACGACTATAAACCTGAAGGGGTGGTGGAGGAGGAGGGGCTAATGGTGGATGGTCCTCAACATAAGGATCAATGAGAACAGGAATGGGAACTGTAGCGAGATGGAGACTCAGCAGGTAGGGAAGGGTCCTTAAAGTAAAAGGAAAACTCATTGAAGGTGACATCGGCAGACACAAAATAGCGATTAAGAGAAGGAGAAAAACACTTGTATCCTTTTTGGGATCGAGTAAATCATAAGAAAACACATTTGTGTGATCGAGGAGATAACTTATCATGACCAGGATCAAAATTGTGGACAAAACGAGTAGACCCAAAAACCTTCGAGAGGTAAAGGATGGAGAGTGTCATGAGGAAATAAAATAGAATGGGGAATTTTGTTATCTAAAACCGAAGAGGGCATACGATTAATAAGATAACAGGCGAGTAAGAACAGACATCACCCCAAAAATGTTGAGGAACCTCACCATGAATTAAAAGAGTACGGGTTGTTTCAATAAGGTGTCTATTCTTGCGCTCGACCACCCCATTTTGTTGAGGGGTATAAGCACAGGAAGTTTGATGAAGAATGCCATGAGAAGCCATAAATTGTTTAAACGAGTTTGAAAGATATTCACGGCCATTATCACTTCGAAAAGTTTGAATAGAGACACCAAATTGATTTTTAATTTCATGATAAAAGTTTTGGAATATAGAAAACAACTCAGAACGATTTTTCATTAAAAATAACCAAGCACAACGAGAGAAATCATCAATAAAAGTAACAAAATATTGAAAACCTAAATTAGACTTAACACGACTGGGTCCCCAAATGTCGAGTGAACTAAGGCAAAGGGGGATGAAGCACGCTGGGAAACACTACGAGAAAAGGAAGTACGACTATGTTTGCCTAGCTGACAGGACTCACACACCAAATTGGACAACTGGGATAAGGCTGGGAACAAGTTGCTGTAATTTGCGCAGATCGGGGTGACCAAGCTGAGCATGAAGGAGAGAAGGAGACTCCATAACTGTGCCAACATGTGGAGAAGGTTGAAGATAATAAAGTCCATGTGACTCACATCCGGTGCCAATCACTCTTTGCGAGCTCCGGTTACTGTAGGGAAACGAAGTTTTGGTAAAAGAGATAACACAATCAAGAGATCGAGTTAGACGGCTAATGGATAATAAGTTAAAGGGGGACCGGGTATATACAAAACATTATCAATGGACAACGAGGGAAAAAGAGTAACCGTTCCAACACCATGAGCTAAAGTTGTAGACCCATTAGCCATTGTAACGAGAGGGTAAATTATGAGAAGAAGTGAAAGAGGAAAATAAAGATTTGTTACCGAGTGATGTGATCGGTGGCGCCGAGTCAAGAACCCAAGGGCCAATAGAAGAAGAGTGAGTCGGACCAGACAAAAGATGTACCTGTGTGGGCAACGAAGTAGTGGAACTGGAGGGCTTTCGATCCTCATACCGTTGAAGAAAATCATTGAAGATAGCAGATTTGTTCGAAGGTACAGACGAAGGAGGATCCACGGCAGAGGATTGTGCGGAAGAATCGGTCCGAGCAAGCTGCGACGAGATCGGCGAGGATAACCATGTAAAGCATAACATTTGTCAATTTTGTGGCCTAGTTTGCCACAATGGTCACACTTGACACGCCCTTTGCCCGACTTGTGAGAGCGATTACGATCATCACGGTGAGAGGCCAAGGCGAGATGAATCATTAGAAACTACAGGGGGAATATTGAGAGGTTTACATGGCACCCGCAAAGGGAGGAACTGGTAGCGGTAAAGCTGGGTGTAACAGGGGAACCCAAAATGCGGTCACGAACAGGGGCATATTTATCGGCAAGTCCGTGTAACATCAAAACCATGAAAAACTTTGATCGTTGCTCTAATTCTTGGGCAGGAGTCGAGGCAGGGGTAATAACTCATTAAATTCATGGAGAAGAGCATGGATCTTACCCACATAATCCGCCACAGGATCCTTATCTCGAGGAGCAATAACATCAAGAAGATTGTAACAAACACCATAAAGACGTTGAGTGTCATTGGTGTATAATAATTTGGCTTGTTCCCAAACGTCATAACATGTGCCATACGATCGAAAAATTTGTTTTAAAGAAGATTGGATGGTATTCTTGAGAACCATACATATATGAGCATCGACTTTCTTCCAACGGACACGATCATTGGAAGGAACATCATCTACCTTGGTAGTAAGATGATCAACATACCCCGACTCTCAAGCCAAAGTCTAATATCGGATGCCCAAGTTGCATAATTCGTACCATCTAATTTATCAATGGGTAAATTCACATTGACATAATTAGTAAAAACAGATTGCTCGGACCCACCGGAGTCGACGGAGGTAACTTCGAATTGGAAGTGGCGGCGGAAGATGCCATGGAGGAAGAGAGAGAAAAACCCTAAAACACCAAAGAGGTCCGATTGGAGCAGCGAGGACAGATCCAGAGAGAGGAGAAGGAGGCGACGCCGGCGCAAAGATCGGTGGCCTGAACGGTGGCGAGACGCGCCGCCACGCGCGGCGGAACGGGAGAAGGTGGTGCGGCTTCGGGAGGCGCGTGACGGAGCGTGGCTGCTCCGATGACCGCGAAACTTCCATGGTGGAGGTCGCATGGGGGAGGCGAGCAAAACCCTGTGCTCGGCGGTCCGAACTGCTACTCTGGCGACGGCGGTGGCGGCGGACGGCGGTGGCGACGACGGCGGCGATGGAGGCGGCGACAGCTGCAGGTTCAGTGGCAGAGCCGAAAAAAAATCCCAAGAGACCTTAAGCTCTTGATACCATGTTGAATATAGGGAAAAACTGTATAGGGTTAATTTCCCTTATGTATTTACCACACATAGGGCAGTGTATTTATAATAAAGAAAGGTACTCCTCAAAAGAGTAACAGAATACAAATAGAGTAAATAAAAAGATATTATTTGATATTGTGATTAACAATATCTAACAATATCTCAACAATATCAAACAATATCAACTAATATGTAATCATATCTAACAATATTAATTCTTTTGTTGCAAAATATTTTTGGCTTTTCCCCACATCTGCCTTGCATGCTTAATAGTTCAGATTGATGGTAGCTTTTTAGGTGCTGATGTTATAACATTACTGCAAATTTAGTTCTATTTATTTCATATATGCTAAAGTTGCTTCTTCTGCTTACAAAAGGTTCAAACCGTTGAAGAACAAGTCAGAGCTTCGGCTGAGCACAAACTTGGTGTTGCTAATCAGAGCATTACTGCTGGTTTTTTTGATAATAATACTAGGTTTGGCAAAGCTGACATTCTTTATCTTGTTTTTTGTTAGAATATGCATAGTATAGGCTTTATTAAAAAGCTGTTTTTGTGTACCTATCTGTAACTAGGTCTCTAGATGTACCTTTGCTTGTTTTACCACTCTTTCTCTCTTCCATTGTAAATTAGATTTCTTATAAATAAGAGAGTAGTAGATGGGCTTGATTCAGCTCTCCAAAATACCTTTTCGCTTTATTATTTATCTCTTATATTATGAAATTTCCCATTTAGGTCTGAAGTTTCTGTTGTCTATAATTATTTGCAGTGCTGAAGATCGAAGAGAATACTTAGAAGCCCTCCTGCGTGAGTGTAAGAAAGAAGAAGCTGCACCTGTTCTGGACGATGATGCTCTAAATGATGTCTTAGCCCGCAGGTTCTTTTTTAAATCCTTTTATCATCTTCTGTCTGTTTTCTACAGCCTGGTCTCTGCTTAGCTTATGATGATTGATTGAATCTTTCGATTTTCAGTATTCTTTCACGTAATTTAAATGTGTCACTTTTCAAAATGACAACTTGACGGGTGCATTAGTATTTAGTGAAAATTTTGGATATGTAATTTACTCTTTTACTGCCTCCATTTTAATTAATTACAGAATATGGTTCCTGATGTATTATTGTCATTCAATAGTATAATACCCTGTTCAATGATGATTTAAATCACAGATTATCATGTTACTTTTTGTACGCAAGCATGGTGCTATTAAACCTTTGATTGTTGATTAGATCTTTAAGTATTACAACTGCATTTAAACTAACATTATAATTACCTTATAATTTAGTTTTCCCCCTTTTGGCTAGGCGATCCTTCTTCCACCTAAGTTCTGTGTTAAAAGAGAGCAAAAAGGAGAATTGATGCACATTTTGTTTTTGTTTGCAGTGAAACAGAGTTGGATATATTTGAGGCTGTTGACAAAAAAAGAAAGGAAGATGAGCAGGTATTCTATAGAGTATTTGCTTAGGTTTTTCATCGGCATACATATAGCTTTTTAAATGCTGCTGTGAAACGGTGAATCTCACTTGAGCTCCAAAAAAATTTGTTGCAGGCTACCTGGAAGAAATTGGTGCATGGACAGACAGCTGATGGATCTGATCTTATTCCTCCACTTCCTGCTCGTCTGGTGACTGATGAAGACCTGAAACAGTTCTATGAAGCAATGAAGATATCTGATGTGCCTAAGGGTGCAGTAGAATCTAGTGGAGTAAAGCGAAAGGGTGGATATCTTGGAGGCCTTGATACTCAACAATATGGCAGGGGAAAGCGTGCAAGAGAGGTTTGTCTATAAATTTTATTCATTTAGATTGTGTGGTTTAATTGTATAATTTGCCTGCTGCTCTCTGTATGAGTATGGTCAGGTTCAACATACCTTCATGTTACGAGTTTTACCTCGGGTTAATCTTGTATAATTTCGATAAACTTACATTTGAGGTGCAAAAATTAGAAGAAAAAAAGAAATAAGTAAATTGAAAAGTACTTATGTATTACCTTGGGTGTTAGATATATACTACACAATGCTAATCAATGTGAACATACATTATGAAGGTACGTTCCTATGAAGAGCAATGGACGGAGGAGGAGTTTGAGAAGATGTGTCAAGTTGAAGCTCCAGATTCACCCAAAGTAAAAGAAGGGGCAGAAATGAGTTATCCAACAAATACTTCCAGCTCTGTTGTATCTACTTCCAACTCCCAACCTATGGCTGTGCCTCCGGAGGCTCCAACATTGCCTTCTGTGGAGAGTTTGCCTGTGCAGCAAGTGAAAGAGATAACCCCACCAGCCAAACGTGGTCGTGGAAGACCTAAAAGAATAGCTTCAGATAAGTCACCAGCTGTGATGGGCCCTCCACTAACTTCTGGAACTGCTGAAGTAGACACACAGTTACAAAAAGGAATTGGGTTTGGACACTTAGCACCTCCAGCTTCTGATTCTGTTGCTCATTCTGCTGAAGTTACAAGTGTGAATGCACCTGCACAGCAGTCTGATACAGGAGTTGCTCCTAATGCACATCCTGCCATTCCTGTGCCGACTATTCCACCAAATTCCCAGGTAGCTGCTATTCCTGTGTCAGTACCTATTCAAGCAAGAGGGCAAGGGCGGAAAAGTCATGGTAGTGAAGGGATTAGACGTAGAGGAAAGAAGCAGGCCATGATTCCACCTTTGATCCCGGGTAATTCTGTTGGTCCTGATCAAAAGGTGAATGAGAAATTGGAAAATAAAATGGTAAGTCCTTCCGGTCAACCTATCTCGCAGAGTGAAACTGCTCCCAGCTTTGCTGCTGTACCCTACCCACCTTCTGCTTCTTTGAACAGTGGGAAGGATCTTTTGGGTGCTGGTACTGTTTTGAATTCTCAGGCACCCCCTCCTTTACCCTCTAATACAACCTTAGTTCAAACAGCACCGACTTATCCGCCCGAACAAATGCCAAGTAAAGGACAAAATCAAAAGTCACAAACTGGGGTTTCACGTCGAAGGGGAAAGAAACAGGCACCAGTTCCAGATGTTTTACATCAATCTGCTAATTTACCGATTTCATCAGGCAGCATGTTAAGTGAAAAAGCCACTGAATTACAGAGCTTGCAGGCGAACAATGTTCAAGAATTAAAATGTGTAGTCCAGGACCAAGCATCACAGAACCTAGTTGATCAGGATTTAAAATCACTGCAAGGATCAGATGATTCAGCCAAACAGACAGTGATCACATCTTCATGTCAAGATAGTATGATCAAATCACCAGGTGAGTTTGTGCATTGAAGTATTGAGTTCTTAATGTCTTTTCATTTGTTTTAGTGAAGATCTTGGATATAAACTCAGGAATATTTTTGCAGGGCAAGATCCTGAGGTTATGGATCCTGATGTACATGATGCTTCTGTGAAGGTTGTTAAATCTTCTGAAATTACCTCGTCAAAAATTGATGAAGTTTGCAACTCAGGGAGTGAAATTCCATTTGTCACAACAGTGCCTGTTACTGACGTGACAAAGGATCAACCTTCATGTGGCATAATGCAAAATCAAATAGTTGAAACTTCAAAAGCCCGCCCTTCGCTTGTTGATACTCCAACTGGCGGTGAAACTACTGACAGCATCAGCAAGTCTTTAGATCCTGTGACTTCAAAGATTGTTCCTAGTACATTAAGCACTATTTATCCTTCCCCTCCAGCCTCTGAATCCACTCATCCAGGCCCAACTGAATCCATGCCTGCCAAAAGGCAAGGTCGTAAAATTCAAAATAGAGCAGAGCCAGCACGACGAAGGGGTAAAAAATCAGCTTCAGTGTTACCTGTTGTTCCTGATGCAGTTACTGGTCAGGATTCTAAGTCAAGTCATCATGCACATAATTCATCAGGGGATTCATTGCAAGGTAAAGCCACTACCAATATCAGTCAAAGCCAAGCATTTGAGATCCTTTTACCCAGTGGAGTAGTTATTCATGATTCAAAAAGAAAAGATAGAGCAACCAATTCTACGCATAATAAGCAACAGAAAGTTTCAAGGATTGATGGTGCACCTATCTCCACAGATAAGATTTCTGTGCATGATGTTGCGAGGGTAATGAAGGAAGTTTTCTCTGCAACTTGCTTACCAAAGCCCAAAGCTCATGATTCTGCGGGGAGTGAGGATAATAATACAACTGTTGTTCATGTAACGACTAAAGCTGCAGTGGATGCCTCCAATAATCAGATTTTGGAGGATAAAGCACGATCTGATATAACAACTAGTGGTGCAACATGCCCTCCTTCGGATGTTGTTGTGATTGTTCATGAAAAACAATCAAAAGTGGCGTCTAAGATGCAGAATTTGGAGGGTAAAGCAAATTTAGATATGCCAACTGCCGGAGAACATAGCCTGTCATCAGATGACAAAGAAAAGGCTGAACAGACACAGCATTGTGTTGAGATATCAACCACAGGGTGTAAAATAGCTCTTGATACAAATCCAAATACTGCCCAAAAAACTGATGGTTCTCCTCAGAGAGTTTCTACCAGTGATATAGATACGTGTAGCCTTACTTCGGATGTTGTTGTGAATGTTCATGAAAAACAATCAAAGGTGGCATCTAAGATGCAGAGTTTGGAGGGTAAAACAAATTTAGATATGCCAACTGCTGATGAACATAGCCTGCCATCAGATGTTAAAGAAAAGGCTGAACAGACACATCATTGTGTCGAAAGCTCAACCACAGGGTGTAAAATAGCTCTTGATACAACTCTCAATACCGCCCAAATTACTGATGGTTCTCCTGTGAGACTTCCTACCAGTGATTTAAATATAGATACTTGTGGCCATCAGATGCATACATCATCTTGTGCAGGATCTCTTGTGGTAATTAATCATAAGCTTGGGAACCAATCTGACTTTTCCGAGGAGTGTTCAAGATCTTCTCCACTTGATATTTGTGGCGCAGGATACCTTCCAACTCCATCGGAACTCAACACTTCTAGTAATAATGTATCTAGTCAGGCTGATATGTGCACTCAGAGCCATTCACCCACAAACGAACCTCCTGATATCACAGAACAAATTTCTACTGAAAAATTAGATCCTTCAGAACCATCTTTGACATCTACTTCTCTTGCTTGTGTTGATAGCTCTGGGTCATTGGTTCAGACTGAAAATTTAGGTGATCAACCACAAATGACCTCAGCTAGTCCTGCAACAGATCCTTCTCCAAGGACTTTGATAGTTTCTAGTATTTCGGAACACACTGAAGTTAAAAATGAAACAGAGTGTACTACTAAAGCTTCTACTGAACTTTCCTCTTACGAGAGGATTGTTAGCTGTAAAATTCTAGATTCACAGTTGCTGGAGCCTGAGAATCCGATTACTGTTGGATATGATTCTCAAAAGGCATTGGAACCCTCCATAAAACAGTGTTCAGAATCAGCTTCTGAAATGGAGGATCCTGTGGGTCTTGAAGCTATTCAAACTCAGAAGCATTCCGATTCTGTAGAACCTGCTGATTTGCCTGGTTCTCCGTTGATTGAGAGTTGTTCAAAATCTCTCTGTGAGGAAAAAAAGGATGATGCAAATTCCATGTCGGAGCAGCATCAGTCTTGTGTTGCTAAATCTATAAATATTGACCTCGTTTCCCAAGAAAATATAGTATTGCTCAATCCTATTGACAATGGAGAAATTTATTCCTCTGAGGCTTGCCAAATGGACATGGACACATCTGACAGGTTAGCAATGCCGCAACCTTCTGATCTGGAAGCTGTAGGAAATGATTTAATAGGTAGTTCTGCTTTTGGCAGTCTTGTAGAGGGAGCTATATCTGAAGCTGCAGTTCTCCACCAGTCAACCTTGGTCGAAGAGCAAACTAGGTCCTTTGCTGTAACAAGTTTAGGTACAAGTTCAGAACCTCCTTTGGAAGAGTCAATGGAGAAGGTTGTGCGCAACAACTCTGGGGTCCAGGAGGGAGTAAAAGTGGATGAAGTGGAACCTGATGTTCTAATGGATTCATCTATTAGTCAGGCTGTGCTAGTAAAACACGATGTTTTTCAAGAAAATATGAACTTGTCCTCCCATCCGATATCAAAGGAAGAAAACATAGATGGCTCAACTCCAAGGAGCGTATCTATAAGCACTTCTCCATCAAATGAATTGAAGGATTCTAATCTTGAACTAGGTGATAAATATGTATCTCCAGTTGGTGATTCCCAGATTGGATCTGAAGATAATATATTGAAGAGCTTGGATTTAGTTTCATCTCCTTCGGTGAGAAAGGAAGAAGGGATCAGTTCTACTTCTGATATTGATTTTTCTGAAGGTCATTCAATATCTTTGAGGGTACCAGTTTGCTCTGATGACTTGCTTGGTAAATTGAAGGAACATCAATTAATAACTGTCCCAAATGCTGTGGAGCCTTCATCTTCTCAACTGAAAGAGGAAGAAAAAATTGGGGTTTCATCTGACAGTACATTTGTTGTAAGGTCTATATCTGAAAAGGGCATGGAAGGATCTGGCCTATTGCAGGAAGATCCAGTGGTGGAAATCAATAACGTGTTGTCAGATTCCCCAATGATTGTTGCGCACTCTGTGGAGGCTCAAGTGTCGTTGGTCAAAGGAGATAGTTCTGAAATTAAAATTACTGATCAAATAGATGTTTCTCAGGCTTCTGAGAATGATTCAGAAAGGCTTACTTCCAAAAGCCTGGACGATCCTTCTTGTTTGCAGACGGAGAAAGATGCTAATATGTTATCTGACAAGGACCCTTTCTGCAGTTCCCTTGGTCCAGACGAGAAAGATTCTGCCATCGAGAATAGTAGGGATGGCATCATGGTACGTTGTTTTATACATATTTAGCGCATCTAGCACTGTAATTTTTTCTTTAATTTTGTACTGACTTTGTTTATGCAGGATCCTGTTGCAAATCCGTTATTGCATCAGAAATCAGAATGTTCCGAATCTGAGAAGGTTGATGAAATGAAGACATCTGATGTTGGCTGGGTTGATCCAGGGCCGATGGCCAAAAACACAGATTTGCCTTCTTCCTTGGTGGAGCAAGATAAAACTGATGTATCATACGAGAGCCCATTGACTGCTGCTGAACCAAACTCTTCTTTGACTGAAGACAATTGTGAAGTTGCTAATGAGGTATGACATTTGCCACCTATTAGTGTACTGGTCGTTACTATCTCTTCAATTTTACTTCTGTATTATTTTTGCTGGAGTTCTTCACTAATCCATTAACCTTACAGGCATCAAATGCTTCTGAAGCTAAGATTGGTAATCAAATGGGTGCATCTGATGTAGCTGGGGTTAATACAGAACAATTTTCATCAAGTGACATTATTGAGCCATCATCGTCCTTGATAATTGAGGACAATAAGATTGTGTTGATATCGGACAAGATTCCACAACTTAGTGTGCCACTACTCATGGAAACAAATGATTGTCTGACTGCAGAGGGGGGCTGTAAAGATGGCAGTGAGGTTAGTCATTTTGCACCTACATAATAATAATGGCTTCTGCTATAATTTTCCCGTTAACATCCTTTATGAATTAATTTCTCCAGGGTCCCTCTACAAATCCAGTACTGCTACAGGAATTAATTAATAATTCCGAAGCAGAAATGTGTAATCAACGCAATGCACAGGTTGGTCTCCCCTTTAAACTATGCAAAATTCTCTTACTGCATTTATAAGATAATCGATTTTGAACAATTTATTTAATATTCTATCTAAAAAGCATATTACGAGGATAAAACAAATCAAAATTTGGGCTGTCTGGCTGGGTTAACTATGATTTTACACATATTCGTAACATCCCAATTCGCAAGAATCACCATGGCGTCGTTGTTTCTCTTCTAATGTCCTATATATGGAATTTGTATTAGGCATTATCACATTAGACAAAATGGCGATGATTTTATACTACGCATATTGCTTTCATGGTTTTGTCTGCATTAAAACAATATCTGTTACCTACTGTTTCCATTACTTCTGGCCTTTAATGTTATATTTGCATCCCAGGTCGGTGGGATACCTGGGGATGATGACATAGCATCGGAGGGAAAAAGAGAGGTGGAGATGTTTTCTGATGAGGGTCCACCAGGAATCTTCGAAACCCAGGTTGAATCAGGAGGAATGGCTGACAGTGAGGACAGGACAGATGGTAAAAGCTGTGCTACTGACATGGAAAATGTATCTGAAGTCCCAAATCCTTCAGTATCAGTTGAGAAGATGGAAGGCTTATCTAATGAAGGTATTGTTGGCAGCGAAGCAAGAATACAGGTATCAGAAGACTGTGAAGTTGTTATGGGTGATGGAGTCGATGTTACTCCAGATTGTTTGGATCCATCAGTATCTGTTGGGAAGGACAGTGAGGACGGAAGAGATATTAAATGCTGTGCTACTGAGATGGAAAATGTATCTGAAGTCCCAAATCCTTCGGTATCAGTTGAGAAGATGGAAGGCTTATCTAATGAAGGTATTGTTGGCAGCCAAGCAAGAGCGCAGGTATCAGAAGATTCTGAAGCTGTTATGGGAGATGGAATTGATGTTACTCCAGATTGTTTGGATCCATCAGTATCTGTTGAGAAGGACAGTGAGGACAGGATAGATATTAAAAGCTTTGCTACTGAGATGGAAAATATATCTGAAGTCTCAAGTCCCTCAGTATCAGTTGAGAAGGTGAAAGGCTTATCTAATGAAGGTATTGTTGGCTGCCAATCAAGAATGCAGGTATCAGAAAACTCTGAAGCTGTTATGGAAGATGGCATCGATGTTACACCAGATTGTTTGGATCCCTCATCATCAGTTGAGAATGTGGTAGGGTTATCGCAGGAAGGTTTAGTGTGCAGCCGAGCATCTGGAGTTGTTACGGGACATGGGATTGATGTTACTCCAGATTGTTTGACTGTGCCTGAAACGGTGTCAAGTGGTGGGGCTTCATCACCGTGCTCTTCAGCTGTAGGGAGTGAACATGTGGACAACTTGTCTGAGAAGGATGTAGTTGGTAACTCTGTGGCAAAACTTGACACTAAAGAATCTGAAGCTGTTGTCTGTAACCAGGAAAACCAAGTGGTGCAAGAAAAGGCATTGGAAGACATGGAGCTTGGGAACTTGTCCGAGAAGGATTTGGATGGCAACACTGAAGCAAAACTTGACAGCGAACAATCTGAAGCTGGTGTCTGTAACCAGGAAAATCAAGAAAAAGCTATGAAAGACATTGAAAAATCCACTCCTGCAGCTGAGGGCTCCTCCTAGAAGGCTTTGAATACCTTCTCAGAAATACAGTCGGAATCAAAAGAAGTACGAAACATTGTGAGATTGTAAATGAAAGGCTCCTGGAAAAGGCTTTGGAGGAGATGAGTTCAGTGGAAGAATCCGAAACTAACTAATGAAATCTGTCCTTGTATATATTATTATATCATATATAGGGATTTTTGTACATATTTGTTGTAATTTTCTTTTTAAATCCTGCTGCCTATCCTATTAATTAATCTTGGCATTTGATTGTAAGGTCCAACATCTGTCTAATTCTTAGTTATTTTTGTCATCGACGATTTGTTGAAACGGTATCCCGTTTACATCTATTTTAATTGGATATTTCCTTGTTAATCATCAATCAAACTTTTATAAGGCAATTGATTCTTGTTATTTGATTTTCCAAATTTTTTTAGAAAACAATTTTTCACGAATAAAATAATAATCACATTTTATATGTTTGGTCATTTCATGAAACATCGGATTAGAGATAATGTGGAGAGTTGTTTGATTGTCATAATACATCTTCATTTGTTGGATCTTATAAAATTTTAGTTCTTGAAGGAATTGTTTCACCCACACTAATTCACAAGTGAGAGATGTCATTGTTCTGTATACAACTTCAGCACTAGACCGGATCACTATATTTTGTTTCTTACTTTTTCAAGTAATAATATTACCTCCAATGAGAACACAATATCCTATAGTGGAGTGTCTGTCCATAGGGGATCCAGCCTAATCAACATCACAATATTCAGATATTTGGGTACCCCTTTATCTTCATACAACAGATCTTGTCCTGAAGCTTTTTTGAGATATTTTAGGATGTGAACGACGACATTCCAATGATCAATACGCGGATTTTGCATAAATTGACTCACAACTCCAATGACAAAAGATAGGTCAGGTTTGGTAATGGTGAGATAAATGAGTGTCCCAACAAGTCTTCTATATCTCTCAGGATCAGAGAGTGATTCACCCTTATCCGCCATTAATTTTTGATTTGGATCCATAGAGTTGTTTACTGGTCTACAATCAATCATGCCTGTTTCTTTCAGGATATGTAAATCATACTTTGATGCCTTCTTTTGATTGAGTCACTTCAATCCCTAGAAAATATTTGAGACAACCAAGATCCTTAGTTTGGAAGTGATTGCATAAATGTTTCTTTAGTAGAGAAATTTGATCAACATTATCCCCTGTAATGACTATATCATCTACATATACAATTAAATAAACACATTTTCCTGAAGCAATATAATAAAAAACAGAATGATCTGCTTCACTTCGTTTTAATCCAAAACTTTGAACAATGTGATTAAACTTTCCAAACCAAGCACATGGAGATTGTTTGAGACCATAGAGAGAACGATGTAACTTATAAACCAAACTAGACTCCCCTTGAGCAACAAAACCAGGAAATTGCTCCATATAAATTTCCTCCTCAAGAGTACCATGCGAGAACGCATTCTTGATATCTAACTAATGAAGAGGCCAATGACGGATAGCTGCCATAACAAAGAAAAGTCGAACAATAGTCATTTTGGCCACAGGAGAAAAAGTATCACTGTATTCAAGACCATAGATCTGAGTGTAACCTTTTACTACTAATCTAGCTTTGAGTCGATCAACTTCACCTTTTGGTCCAACTTTAATGGTATAGACCCAACGACAACCAACAGTCTTCTTCCCATGTGGAAGAGGAATTAAGTTTCATGTACCATTGTGCTCAAGAGCCTGCATTTCATCAATCATGGCTTGTCGCCATCCAGGATGATCAAGTGCCTCTTTCACATTTTTTGGAATAGTAATAATGGATACAGAAGAAACAAAAGAAAAATAAGAAGGAGACAATCTATGGTAGCTAAGAAAATTGTAAATGAGATGTGAATTACGAGTAGAGTGAGTACCTTTGCGAATGACAATGGGCCAACTTGAGTCATCATTATCAGGAATCGTGGTATCAGGGGATGATTGAGAAGGATCTGCTGAGGAAGACTCATCTTGAGACATGAGACTGATCATTTGGCTCCTGTGTTGATAGGTAATAAGAGGCAGTGATGAGGATTCCGGTGTATTTTGTGTGGAATTTTGGGTGTCAGGAGGAGGAGGTACAAATGGCTCCACTAAGGGTATAAGAAGGACATTTTGGACCGAACTAATATCCTGCATAGAAGAAGGGAAGAAGGGAGTTGACTCAAAAAAAGTGACATTAGCAGACATGTAGTACCTCTTGGTTTCAGGAGAATAATATTGATATCCTTTTTGAAGACGAGAATATCCCAAGAAGACACATTTGATGACTCTAGCTGATAGTTTATCTAAACCTAGAGACATATCATGAACAAAACATACACAACCAAATACACAAGGAGAAACATGAAAGAGTGGGTCCTTTGACAATAGAATAGAGTGTGGAACTTTATTGTTAAGAGAAGAAGATGATATTCTGTTAATGAGAAAACATGCAGTAAGAATAGCATCTCCCCAATGATGAACTGACATATTTCCACCAAGTAATAAGGTATGAATAGTTTCAACCAAATGTCTATTTTTCGTTCTGCTATACCATTTTGTTGTGGTGTGTGAGGACAAGTAGACTGGTATAAAATGCCTTGGGAGCTTAAGAGATTGGAGAAATCACTAGAAAAATATTCTTTGGCATTATCACTTCGTAAAACTTTGATTACTTTTCCAAATTGATTTTTGATTTCGTTAAGGAAAGACTTAAAGATAGGTAATAATTCAAAATGATCTTTCATTAGATAAATCCAAGTACACCTAGAAAACTCATCAATGAAGGTAACAAAATATCTATAGCCAAAGGATGAGACACGACTAGGACCCTAAATATCATAATGAACAAGAGAAAAGACAGAGTCACATATAAATTCAGAATGTTTAGGAAAAGAGGACCTAATATGTTTCCCTAGTTGACATGATTCACATTCAAAATCTTGAAGAGTCTGAAGTTCAGGAACCATTTTTTTTAATCTTGATAAGTGAGGGTGCCCTAAACGTTCGTGTAATAGTTTTGGAGACAAGGATGTAACACAAGATACAGATGATTTAGTCTCAAGATAGTATAAGCCTCCAGATTCATGTCCTTCGCCAATTTGTCGACCCGTACCACGTTCCTGTATAACAAAATAGTTGGCATTAAAGGTTACTGAACAATTCAATAATTTGGTTAATTGACTTAGGGAAATGAGACTGAAGGGACATGAAGGAACAAAAAGAACAGATTTCAAGTTTAAAGACGGAGAAATGGAGACTTGACCAGTTCTTTTAGAGGCTACTTTAGATCCGTTGGCTAAGGTTATGAGATGAGGAGTTTTAGGAAATGAGAGAGAAGAGAACAAAGAGGCATTACCAGACATGTGATCAGAAGCACCTGAGTCAATAATCCATGAATTTTGACTTTTCACAGATTGTGAAATGCAAGTTGTTGATGAATTTGGGGTTGTTGATGACTGTTCTAGATTACTGGATTTCAACCTCAAATATTCCTGATATTCTTCGTGAGAGAACTTGGGTTCAACCATTTTAGATTTGGAAAATTTGACAGTTTTTTCAGGAAAACCGTGCAAAGAGTAGCAATGTTCTACTGTATGACCCATTCTCTTGCAATGAGTGCACTAAGGACGTCCTCTACTTCCACGTCCTCCTCTAGTGTCGCGACTTCCTCTTCCACGGGTAGAAATCATAGCAAAAGATTCAACAAGTTCTTGATTATTTTTTCCTTTGAGAGTTGGAACACGAAGCAGTCTTGTAGTCAAAATTTCCATAGAAGGAACTTCTTGTCCAGTTAAAATTTGATCTCTAACATGATCAAATTCTGAATTCATAGCTCGGAGAGTCATAACCATATAAAATTTATCCAACTTTTGTTTTATCTCCTCTAATGAATCCACCTCTAGGAACATCTTTAATTCTTCAACGGCTGATTGAGCTTCAACAATAAAGGTCATCATATCTTTATCCACTTGCTTGAGAGAGGCTAATCGATTAGCGGAATCATAGAGGCGTTGGATATTATTTGCGAAGATATTCTGAACTTTTTTCCAGAAAGAGTTACATGTTTTGAAGGATATGAGAGTGTTCAAAATATTTGGTTATACTGATTGACACAGTAGAACACAAAGTTGATAATCAAGCTTTTTTCATTATTGAACCTGATCTTCTGGTATCTTACTTCCGTCTTCTTCTAAATGATCGTGAAACCCTTGTCCAAGGAACCAAAGTTCCACTGAAGAGGATCAAGACATGTAATTTTTTCCATTTAATTTCTCAGCCATTGTCGTGGGAGTTCCGGAAAAGGAGGTTGTGGGCCCTGACGACATGTTTTAAATAATGTAGATGTAAGATGGAGATAATGGGACCTGTAAGAAAGAGAACCCCCAAGATAGCCGGAAGGTCACTGGAAGGTGGTCGGAAAGTCGTCGGACGACAGCAAAAAAAAGGTGACTGGATGGGGGACTGACGGTTGCTGAAAAGTGGCCGGACGGTGGCCGGAAAATGACGGACGGTGACTGGAAAATGGTCGGACGGTGATGGGAAAATAGTCGAACGGTGACCGAAAAATGGTCGGACAATGACTGAAAAATGGCCGGTTGGTGACCGAAAAATGGTCGACCGGTGACCGAAAATGGCCGACCGGTGACCAGAAATGGCCAGACGGTGACCGGACAGGCAGAACAGGACCAACCTGCTCTGATACCAAGTTAAAAGAATAAAGAGAGTGAAAAGAATATTTTTAATTTAGTGGGATGTATTACTCCACTCTATGATCTCATTCATATATATATATATATATATATATATATATATATATAAAAGATTATAACATTTAAAACAACAACCATCAACAGAACTAGTAACCACTAACCAGTAATTAATAATAATTCTAACCGATTTATTTCTAAATGTGAAAAGATATAAATGTATGTTGTTTCTTGAGTGAATTCAACCAAGACAAAAAAAAAAAAGTGACTCATCCT